CAAGGAAGATCAGAGGCTTCACAGCTTGTTGTGATTGAATAACCAGGAGGATTGACAAAGAAGCTGCTGTGACAAAACTTTGAACTAAACAGGAGGAATCTCATGCAGCCTAGGTGATTAGATTTCAGTCTGCACTGCATCAGGAAGTTTGTTCTGAGTCCAATGCCAGTATATAACTCTGAAAGATAGTACCTTCCTTGAACATTGTTGCTTCTATCTCCGTTTTGCTGTATGAATACAACATGAGATCTTAGAAACTTTCTTCAGACCTTTGACTCATACTGATTTGTGGTGTTTCTATTCACATTTATTCTTATTACAATCCTGTTCCTCATCTCAAATAACTTTTCCCTACATAGGTCCTCACCAAAATTTGAATTTATAGACAACAATCCTATTGCCTCTAAATCTGTTTTTCTGTCCTTTTTAAAACCATGTTCTGAGTAGCCTTGATCATTCTAAGACTTTATGCAGTTTCCTACTTGAATTCATATTTTGAGTATAGCTGGTCAGAATAACTCTTACAGATATTAATGCTTCCTTCACTGACAATATGTCAGATGTGTTCTAGGGTTACATTTGCATCAGTATTTTTCACAGCCAGATCACAGTATGGCTCAGGCACCCTGCTGTTGACTAAAACACTTGGATATTTATCCTTTTGTCATCTGCAATTGATGATCTCACAAAATAAAGTCTTACAAATTGTTTCTAAATGCATGTCTGTATTATGTAGCATTAGATTTGTTCTTGTTTCTATTAGTCAGTCTAACTAATTAAATTTTTCCTGTATAGGGATCAGTCCTACTTTTTAATCTTTGAAATCCAATGTCCTATCAAACATCATTGGCACACTATTACATTTTGTACCAACACCATTAAAGACAAATATTAAAGCTCACTCCTAAAACTCCATTAGCTTCCTGTGCAGGTAAATGAGAAAGATAACATCCCTTTGCAGGCAGTTCAGAGCAGAAACCTATCTTAGTCATTCTAGGCCTCTCCTCAGAGAAGCCTTCTGTTGACTATAAAGGGAGAATAATCAGAATAGCTAAAGTTAGCTTTTTGGAATACCCCTGTTCCTCTACCAAGCAGATGACTAACATGTTTTTTTCTGTTACAGAGAAACACTAGGTTTCCTAGTCATTTAGGATGTGTGAGCTTAGACTTGGAACTGGGGACACATAGAGTGTTCTGGTTTCTATAGCATTACCCACACTGGGATTGTCAGCACAAACTGAGGATGTGTTTTTGAATCACTACCTTTCATTTTTCTATCACCTCACTGAAATCTTTTTCAGCTATATCATCATGTTTTGTGGACATCTGTATAGCTATGCATTGTCATATCCTTCTGAAAAATGGTTATTTGAATTAGAAATTCTCTATAATTTATTCAAGACAACAAATTATTATTTCAAGACACAGGTTATAAATACAATCATAAGTCATAATTTCAGTGCTAAATAAAAACATTAAAAGTTCTATAGCAAGATCAAGAATTTTATTTCCAGGCAGGTAAGAGAAAGATTTTTAAGTGTTGCAATAAGAAGGGTTATAACTGAAATCGGCAAAAACTGGTATGGATTTTCTTCAGACAGCAACATATATTTCTGAAATACATTTTCTCAGGGATCATGTGGTAAATAAAAGATGGAATTGAACTCAGATATTTGGTGTTCATGGCCAGAAAGCAAGAAAGAATTAAACTCTAGATTGCAACTTAGAAACAAGTAAACTTGATTTATTCTGAAATAACCTATTGCATTTCTTGATCCTTGTTTTGTTTGAACTCTTAAACACAGAAAACTTCCAAGCCACAGTACTCAACAGATGTTGCATACATCAGCACACTCAACACAGTATTTCCACAGACTGTTCTTTCAAGGCCATTTCCTTCTACTATGTTACAGGTGTCTAAATCTTTTCTCTTGCCATGGGGAGAATTAAAACACTGTAAATTTTTTCACTAAACAAACAAGTTTATACCTACAAGTTAAAAAAATAAATCCTACAAAATAAAAACATAACAAAACTGCATTATTATTATATTTCTATTGTTAAATATGTTATTATTGTTAAACAAAATATATTTGAGGTGGTAACAGAACTGTGTGCATAGTACATGCGTTGTGATCCTGACTTCTTAATTTCCTAGGCCATGTGAAATTATTATTCTGCAGGGAATAAACATTTCTACTCTGTAAAAGACTATGTAGTGTAGTATAGTAATATAGACCTAGGCCTATCATAGCATATTGTACAAAGGCCAGAGATAAACTTTCTTAAAGAATAAGATATCAGCTTATAGACAAATCCTACTACCTAATTCAAGAGGTGGTTTATTCAGTGTAACTTAGTCAAGTTTGAATGGCCTTCCTTAGCCAAGTCAATTTAAAGTGCATTACCACATAAAGCACATGTATAATACACACCTTCAAATTAGCAGTGTTCAACATGCAGCCTCTCCCATCTGTATTAACCAGAGAAAGTGTAAGAATTTTGCTACTAGAAAATAATAGAGGAGGAGATAATGCAAACCAAATGAGAAGTAGGGCAAGGAAAACCAATTTCTTATCAACTATGGGGCAAATAATTTTAAGCAAATTCACATAGTGTCTAATCAGTACCAAATAACAACATGGTTCCTTTGGGCTACATTTCAAAGATAAAGCACCAAATTCACGATAGAGGAGACTAACTTTTATTGGAAAGACTGTTAAATAGCAAGAAAATCCCACACAATTCATAGCTTATCCCTAGAAAGCAGATAGAAGGGGCCTTTGGCACTTGAGATAAGTGTATTTTACTATAAGATAGCTAATGCCCTCAGCAAATACAGCAGCTGCAAAGAGTAAGAATTATTTGAAATTCTATGCATAGAAGCTGAAAAACTAATTGTGACATGTTAGCTCAAAACAAGAAAGGATTTCATTACACTGCAGATGGTCTGAGCAAAGGGAATATGTGACACAAAAGGAACTGTGATTAGATTACAAAGTATATCAGAACTGTTTGATTAATCTCCTGTCTGGGGAGTTTTAAGAAATAGACACTATAGGAGACTTAAATTAGAGGAATGATAAACACATACTTCCAGACTTCTGCTTCTTCTGCTTTTAGCAGCTTATCTCCATTTTATCCAATGGTTTTATTGTTGAATGATTCTTACAACCTTAAATTACACTTCCTTGGGCACTGCGATATGTGTTGTGTCTCCAGAAAACTGTGTTTCTGAAAAGCTACACACATCCCACTCTGACACTCTCCCTTTTTAGTTACAGCTCCTTCTGTTAGGAACTTCAAAGTAAGCTTAGGTCTTGAGGAAACATGGTGTTTATTCAAAGATCACTTCACAGTGTTTTTAATTTCTTCCCTATCCAAGCTGCTGTCATACCACTTCCCCGCTACTCACCTTTGGGAAGGTCCTCTCAAGAATCTGGAAATTTCAGGCAGGTTTCACTCTTGGTCAGTCTCTTCCTTTGCTGTAACAACCACATGCCCATGGTATTTGGGACAGAGCTGAAAAACTGTTAAGAACAATTCTCTGCTGTACTCCTTGTACGAGTGTCCTGGTTTTGGCTGGGATAGAGTTAATATTTTTCCTGATAGCTGGTACAGTGCTGTATTTTGGATTTAGGATGAAAATAATGTTGATAACACATTGATGTTTTAGTTGTTGCTGAGCAGTGGTCAAGGACTCCAGCTTCTCATACTGCTCTGCCAGCAACAGGGCTGGGGGACACAAGAAGTTGGGGTGAGATACAGCCAAGACAGCTGACCCAAACTGTCCAAAGGGATGTTCCACACCATATGACATCAAACCCAGTATATAAACTCCGGGGTGGGGGTGGGGGGTGGGGGGTGTGTGTGTGCGCTGGGAGCTGCTGTTTGGGAACTGGCTGAGTATTGGTTCCTTTTCCATCCTATTAAACTATCTTTTTCTCAACCCACAAATTTTTCACAAAAACCCCAAATTTTTCTTTTTTTTTTTTTTTTTTTTTTTTTCTGATTCTCTCCTCTATCCCACTGGGGGTGGTGGAGTGAGCGAACAGCTGTGTGGTGTTTAGCTGCTTGCTGGGTTAAACCATGACAGTATTCCATCTGTTGTTATCTCAACCCTTCGTGACCCACGTTGGGTGCCAAAAAGGACTGTCACGGTAATTGAGGATGAAATTTCAAGTACAAATCAGCCCAAAAGAGTTGATCAAGAATCACTCTCACCTAGATTTTCTAATTGACTGCACAGCATGCATAGATCCTATTAAAAGCATTAGTTTCAGTGCAGAATGTGAGTTTGCAGGTATTTGAAAATTAATGATCCTCAGGTTTGAAGAAATGCTGTGAGTGCTGAAATATCAGCTCAGTGTTACTATGACCCTGAGTAAACTCTTAGTGGAAACAGAAGAAATTTTAGCAAAAACACCAATGTTTTGTGTTCTCTTAGTAAAGCAGTTGCATTTTTTATCTTGTGTTAGATAATACCCACAACAAATCCTAGATGAAATCAATTTTCCCAGCATTAGGAAACAAAGTAAGCACAGTCTCTCCTCCCCCACCTGCACATCAGTCTTTAACTCGGTTATGTCCTGGCATCATTAGGATATTATCATATAATAACAAGCACATTTTTACGCACAGATGGGAAGAGCATGTCTTGCATCTTAGTGAATACGTAGGATAAGCTCTATGCCTTATTATAGCCACAGTAGAACTTGGTGAAAAACAGCAGTGGGAAGTCATTAGTGTAGTGGGATATACAGAGCACACGGTACCCTGACTTCCTCTGCTTGAAATATCATGCAGACTGCCTCTGGCATAAGCAGGAAACAAGAACAATGAACTTCTGTGTCCACTCACTGTGAATTAAGTGATGTGAATAAGCACTGTGGCCAATAAAGATCCATTCTTAATGTCTGACTTGCTCAGAAGTACAATTAGCACTGTTTCCTCCCATTGCTTTCCAGTACATTGAAATTTTTTCCTTTTGTTTTAATTAGCACACAGAAGCCAACACCTTCAGGTTTCCTAACAAATGAGTATTCTGATGCCCAGCTTCAACAGATTGTCAGAAAAATGCGGGAAAGGGCAACACTCTATAAGGAAAAGCTGAAAGACCCAGTGCTCTCCTCCTCTGAAGGCAGTCCTACATCTTGTAAGTGACTCCAGAAAAAGCTGTATATTGTTAAGTTTAAAGATTAAAATTATTTTGTTGGAACAGAAAATACTGTGATACAATTGTCAAGTAAGTATAGCATGTTCACCCACTGAAATGGACCAGTTTGTGCCCACTGAAGTCAATTTATCCATATTAGCTATAGTAAGCCAGGTCCTCAAGTATGAGCTCCTTTTGAAACCCATCGCTGAATATTTTGGGGGAAAAACCTTGGGCAATGTCTAGAATCATCCCTGTGAAGCATTTTCTATATTTTAAAATAGCTCCCAGATATGTTTATTCATGGAAATGAACCTGAAATGTATGAAGAAACATACATATCATATGATATTAGTAACTCTGAGATTAGATCTGCTGTGTAGAAGTAAATAAAATTTTAGCCACAGCATCAATCTTGCAGACACACTGAGGACTCTCAGTACATGCTTTGAATAGAGAAAAATAATATGAAATTAATTAAACATTGACCTTTGACAAAATATGAAACAAAACAAATACAATATTTTTCCTCTTCAGAGGAAAGTCTGACTTTTTTTTTTTTCCTCTTCACAAAGAACTGAGTGTGGTGATTTTATATTCCGACATATTTTAGAAGCTGTTTATTGCCTACCTCTTTTTTAATAAGCTGTAAAAAATAGTATATAATGTATTATAAATTATACCAGCTGACAAAGGGAGTATTAGTATTAGTATTAATTAGTATTAGTATTAGTATCAGTATCAGTATTAGTATTTCTTTGCTCCTTTACATCTTTTGCTCTCTTTGTAGAATTTACTATCATTTATATCCTAAATCATTATAGACCCATTGTGACAGTTTACTGCTAAGACTGTGTATCCTACTCAGAGGTAAAGCTACCAGAATTAATGGGACAAATGTGCAGGCAAAATTATCCAGCCCAAAGCTGGAAGAACTGGGATCAAAGGAGTGCCACAAGACTTTTCTAAGCCTAGAAACATACAAAACCATAGGCTTCCCAGCAGTTTCACCTGATGCATCTTGTGTATCAGGTCTCAGAGAAGGGGAGAGATCAGCCCATGCGCAGAAGTCTTTCCATATCTCCATGCTAACTGCATGCATTTTTTGCAATGGTCATGAAAACAGAAATGCCCAGTTGCATTATGAATGCTGAATTATGAATTACCTTATCCCTTGTCAGTCATTAGCTGTGGGAACTGTCCAAGGAAATACAGTAATATATACATTGCACTCTGTAACATGAAATGCCCTGTTCTTGGTAGCAGATATACATAATTATATCAGTGGTGACTTTAGTCTCCAATTTGTTTTCTAATTCATTCATTCATTCAGTATTATAATGAATTGTAGCTTTAGTCGCTGGTTTTAGAAAAGTTTTTAACATGATAAGGATCTTGTACACGTTAAAACAGGGCATAGTAACTGAGCTATTATTAAAATGTCACCCTTTGTGACACTCTATGTGGCTAGCACCAACAAAGAAGAAGCCTCCACCTCCACCAAAAGAGGAAAAAAAAGAAGAAAATAAAGAGGAAGCAAAGACAGATGAGGATGATTACTGTGATATGCTGTGCTGTAAATTCAAAAAACCTCCATTGAAAAAATACATGAAACATCTGCAACTACCAGACAGCATAGATTCATACACAGGTAAATTAAAAGCTGTGCAATGGAATGGGGTAAAGACATATTGAAGTGACCTAGTATTACACAGTACCTGTGAGCCACCATAAGATCCACATTACGGTTTGCAGCTCTAAGGGATGTGTAGATCCTACCCTAAAGACCATTTATTCTAAACAGGGAAAAGACAGCAAAAATTACAACAGTTGTAAAGGTGACAGTCACAAAGCTGGTATGTAAACCAACCACAATTAAAACTAAAGTCTTCTGATTCTTGAACTAGAATTTGTCCCAATCATTAGGGCCAAATAATTCTTTTGTCAGTTATAATATACACCAACAGCATGCAAAATGTATTGAGTTTCTTCAGATGCATTAAATTCTACATGTTCTCATAAACTCATCTTTTTTCATTTTGCAAATTCTTTGTGTGACTCTTACTTCCAACCTGTATCACTTCAGCAGCCAGTGCTATTGAAAAAGAGAGTATGCTAGGTTTCTCTGAGCAGAAACACTCCCAGAGACTGCAGTAGAATAAATGTGTCTAAAAGAATGAGAAAAGATTCTAAGTTCGTGTCTATAAATTCAATGTTTTTTCTTTCAGATCGCCGTTATGTAGCATGGCTCATGCTTGTGACAGTTGCCTATAATTGGAATTGCTGGTTGATTCCCCTTCGGTTTGTGTTCCCATATCAAACCCCCAGTAATACAATATATTGGTTTATCATAGACATCATTTGTGATATCTGCTACCTCTGTGACTTACTGATTTTCCAGCCGCGAATGCAATTTTTAAAAGGTGGAGATATAATAGTAAGTATTGGAAGTGGGATTTCCATGGATAGTAGTTGTGTGTTAAAGTACAGAGTAGAAATTCCCTCTAATCCAACACAATTTTTCCTGCTCTGTCAAATCTATGTATTTTTTTTTTTTTATTTACCAAAAGATACCTACGTAATTCTTCACTGACTTTCAATTATCCTGTTTTGGAAGAAGGAAACATATCCATTGTCTACATTCTTAAAAAAAGGAAAAGTATATTTGAAAGCAACAGATGAGAGCAGTTGGAACAGGCATAAAGCTCTTTCTCACCAGGAGTAAATTGGTGCAGCTTCACTGGAATCAGTGATTATATGACTATGTATTTATACATGTATGCATCTCTTTGTATGTTTGTGTGAAACTTTTAGCTTTCTATTAATTTTGTACAATAATCACAGTTGAAAACAGTGCATGTTCTGCTAGGGCTGGACAGGATATGCACATTTTGTTACAGACTGTGAGATTGTGGGGATTTTTGCCAAAATCAGAGAAAATCCCTGTAATTTCAGGATGCTTTGAAAATAACTTATTTGAGAAATTTTATTTTGGGAAAATATGCACATTCAATTTTGCTTCTTGCTACTATTTTTGTGTTACCTTTTATAGAAAAATGAAAAATAAAACTCTAAGCAAGTGTGTAAAAACTTGCCCTTAACATACCAAAAAGACAACTAGAACATTAACCTTTCTTTAAAATCTTCTGTACTTTTGATTCTTTAACTTCTTACAGAAGAAAACGTAATGCAGAAAAAAAAAGATTAGATAGCTTCAGTGTGACACTACTGTGCCCAACAGGCAGAATATCCAAAATTATATATCCACAAATGTAATTTGGAACTAGACTTAGTTCAGTGCTCTTACATAAAATTTTACATGTTGTGCACACAAGATATTACTGACACCTTTACAGAGGAATCTCAGATAAAACTGTGCAAATATTGTCTGGATAGATATTAAATGCAGTGCAGTGTAATGCATTTTTCCATGCCGAGACATTCAGTAACTGGCAATCTTGCCTAAATCCTACAAAACTCAAATTTTATGAAGAAGGTTAAAACTCTAATGTAGGAGGCTTGCCTTGTATTTCCCTTGAAGCTGTTTGTACAACTCATAGATGTTAGCGTGTGAAGATATCATCTACTGCCTGATCTCCTGCCTTTAATTTTATGCTTAAACTGATAATAGTGAAAAGTTGGCATGGAAATATCCTTAAATTTTAAAGCTATTTTTAAAACATCCTTGGTATAAATACAGAAGGTATAATAATAGATACATTTCTTTTGATATTTGTGATTACCCTTTCTTATTAAGGTATTAGCATCAGTTCCCATGGAGAGCAATTTAAAAATAAATAGCTAATCATTACTAACGAATGCAATGTTGATTATTATAACGCTAAGAATGCTAGCATGTAAATGCTAGCTTTCAAAGAGCTAATTTTGTACAGCACCATCAGAAACATTCTTTTCATTTTTCTTGGAACCACTGAAGTCAAATGGAGTTTTTGCCCTGAAATTGAAGGGGTTTAGGCCAAGCACCAACTGGTACAGATGTCTTGAGAGGGATGATTTGTTGGAAAAATGTAATGTACTCTGCTGGACCTACAAATAGACATGGAAAAAGTCAGAAAAACTCCAATCCTGATTTTTTAAAAATAAATCTAATAAAACCTGGCCTAATGTAAACTGGTCTAATAAAAATACCACTCAGTCCTACATATATTTCTCCATTCATACTTTTAGACCATCATTAATATAACTGTCATCATCCCTATTATCAGAAGACGATTATTACTATTGTTGAGTAGCAGAGGTTTATTCTTGGTATTCTGTTCTTGACTATGCTTTTTTCTCCTTTCTTTACCATTGCAGTCAGACAGAGTGGAAATGAAGAAATTCTACTACAGCTCCATGAAGTTTCGCGTAAGCAGACCCTCTGTTACTGATGTCATTATGTAGGTTCTGCCAGTAGCATTTCACAGGATTTATTTCATTCACTGAATATCACTGTTGGTTTAAGAACACCACCAGAAATCATTGGTTTGATGGCATGTCAGTGCTCACCAGCTGAAGATTACCATCTTCATAAACAGTGCTTACTTGTAAAACAGAATCATTATAAATGCAATTATAAATATTCATTCTGAATAACAAATTAATAAAATAGAAGTTAAAAAATTATCTGTTTTGATGAATTTGTGTGAGGCCCACACACACTGAAAGACAATAGCACAGTTTGCTAGAGATTCACTAAATAATAAAAGAAAAAGTCTTGAAGTTAGATGATAACTATATTCAGTGAACTCATTAAGTACTTTGTGGTGTGGAATAGGTCATCACACACAAAGTAAACAAAAATTCAAACTGAGATTTGTGATGCTCATTACAATTTGTAAAAACAAATATGTATTCGATTGAGGAAAACTGTTCATTTTGTTCCTAAATATCGTTTTTGCCGACAGAAGATAGGTAGTCTGTTGAATTCCTGATACACATACAGGCCTGTGACACTGAGCCCACATCTCGACAGCTCAGTTATTGCCCCCTCCTCTTCTGTAAATATTTTTGCACCTGCCTTGATTCAGAGTTAAATTTGTCTCAGTGACTGTGGTATCCCTACTTATATACTTGAGGTTAAGCTATCCAAAAGTGCAAGATATACACTATACAGGCAAGTGAGTAAGAAAGGGTCAAACTTACAGCAAGAAAACTAAGTGGATATGTATGGTTTTATTTTCAGTTCACACTTGCAGTATGTTTAGGGCTCTTGATTTCTACAGAAACTAATGAGAGTTGAGTGTTCTCATGACATGCAAGATATAGATAAAATCTGGGAATTTTTCATATGATTAAATATTAATTAATTGACATTAAAGCACTTCTGACTAAATTTTGCCTCCTCTTAGACATGTGTCTGAAAGAAGGAGAGAGGTCATAAAAGACTTTTTGCCCTCAATCAATTTTTTGGTTTGATTTGCTTTTTTCACAGAGTTCAGGTATTAACTGCATCTTACTTGCATGGAATAAAAGGTCGGTGCTGCAGGCTAGTTGCTGCCAATGTGAGTTGCATCTCTCAGAGCAAAGACATTTCTGATTGCAGTGAGATGAAACCCACAGTTCCACATCCCTCTTTTGTCCCCAAATGATATCAGCAGCAGAGCAAGGCATCACAGGATCTTTAAAAAGACAAAGCCAATTTAGCCACAGCTTTCCTTCTCTCCACAGAATTCTTGGAAAGAATAAAGTAGGCAGATAAGAAGAGTTATCACACAGTTGATGGACTGCAAGGAGGTGTTGGAAATCTTAGTAATATAGGAAGATGAAGCATCGAAATATAGCAAAAGACAATGTCTACTAAAAACAAAAACAACGACCAATTTTATCATCCTGTGATGAATCTGTTGTTTGGAACACATGGCTTCTGTAGGTTGCAGGCAAGGAGTTTAATTCATCATGCTCCCCCAGATTACTATAAGCAGCCTGGTTTTAAAAGCTGTAGGACTTCTGAGAACTGCTTGTGGAGTGCTCTCCCCACTTCCACTCTCCAGCCACATGCCTACCATTTTAGTCTTGTCATAACTATAATTGAAATAACAGAATGTATTAGTAATCCCATTTCTAAAATACTGTTAATAATCCCCATGAAACAGATTAAAATCTCAGGCACGAGGGATTTAAAAGCAGGACAGAGCAAAGCTGTTGGTGTTTTCAAAGAGATAATCTTGCCTGACAGTAATTGGGAAGTTATGGGTTTAGCATGTTGACTGTTTATACTCAGTTATACTCAGTCATGATTCAATCTAAGGAGGTTTTTGACAGCAAGTAAATGTATTATGATTATTATGATACTTAAATTGATCTCTCTGCTCTTCAACAGTTCGATGTGATATCAGTATTGCCATTTGAAGTTTTATACTTGTTCTTTGGATTCAACCCAGTATTTAGAGCAAATAGGATGCTAAAGGTAAGATCTGTGTTAGTGATGGACAGCTAAACACACATAAATGTCTTTACAACCCAATGGCAAGTTGTTTATAGTATTTAGGAATATGAAATTTAGAAATTAGAAAATATCTTCAGGATAAAATACAACATAAGTAAACAAACCAACAAAAAATACAAGATCTAGTCTAGCCAAATTAAGAGGTTATTCTCTTATTTTTCTTTTGACTTTATTATTTCCTACTTTCAAAAGGTGTTTTGTCATTAAGGCTTGTTTGTTTCTGTTATTTACATTAGATTAATATTAAATTACCTGTATAATTTTCAAAGATAAAAAAAAAAATAAAATCACTAATTAATGCAAATGTATTTTCCCCTTCTGTTGGAAATAGCAGGCATTTAAAAGCAAAGGAGGGAATTTTAAGGACAAGATAATCTATACACGCATATTTAACAAGTATAAACCTTCTTTTATTACTGAGTCCAAAGACATCTAGAGTTGTGCAATGAAGGGGCTGAGAAGAGATTAAACAGCCCTCTCCCTGCATTTCATGGTACCTAGCAGGCCACTCTATGGCTAATTACATTCCCCTTCACACAATCAATATGTTGACAAAGAATTGTCTTTCATTTAAAGTTGAAGGGAGACACAAGAACTCAGAATAAATTGAGGGTGCTCTTCAGTTTTCAACAAAACTTCAAAATTCCATAAATCAGAACCAAAACAATGTGAAAGAATGAAAAGTTAAATAGTACCTCATATTAGGCAGACAGATGTGTACTGAACAAAAACAAAGCAAAAAGATACATGTGAATATTAAGGACTTTCACTAAAGGTAAACTACAAATAATTAAGAGAAATTATTTGATACAGCCGCAATTGATACTACATACTATCATCTATTATGTGGTCGTTGCTACATATGATCACTTACTGGAGAATTATTGGAATTTCAGAAAGAGAAACAAGGGATTGTTATGTGTGCAATTCACTCTGATAAAGTTGCCCAAGCAATTATATATGTTTGAGGAAGTAGAAGTCATTCATCTGAAGCAGTCTGACCTAAACAGCAAGGTTATTTCTATAATCAGACTAATGGGACACTGAACACCCAAATCAACGTTTAAGCCAATTTTCATCTTTGCTTTGCAGTTCACCTTTTAGTTAAATGTTTAAAGAAAGTCAGACTACTGAAAAATCCATTATTTTAAAAATGTGTATGTGAACTAATGTCAGTGTTATTATAAAAAGACATGTAGTGAAGAATAATGATTAGATCACTTTCATTTGCTTTCCATTCAGCATAACACATTCTTTGAGTTTAATGATCGTCTGGAAGCTATTCTGGACAAAGCATACATTTACAGGTATGTGCTTATTAAACTCTCGTAACATGCCAAGCTTGGCACAGAATGCATTTCATTTGATTTCATGAGTTGCCAGTGAAGCTTTGGATGGAATAAGATACATGCTTAACTGTTCAATTTAAGAGTTTTTAAAATATCTGTCTTTATTGTAATCATTAAAATAATAAATTTAAAGCTTGACTCACATACGAAGTCTAGCTCAGTTCAGCTGACCTGAAACAGGCAAAATGTTCACCAAACTGACGCTCCTGTCAGTATTTAATGGATAAGAAGTATCAGAAAGAAGTTTCTTTAGTGAAAGAGCTAAAGAACAGTTACTTTAGGTTGCTAATAGCTGTGCCAAATCCTCAGTAGCTGTTTATTTGTACTTAATAAGAGTTATGAGCTTGAGCCTGTGTCAACATTTTTCTTCAAATGTGCTCTCACCATGAACCTGGCATATACAGAAACTTGATCCTCCACTTCATTGACTGAACTTGGAATGAGAATCAATTCAGCACAGATCTCAAATAGTGATTATAACTGTTGTCCACTGCACTATGTTTTCACCTTCTGCAATGACAGCAAGAATTTTGGATCCAAATCAAGCGGTCCATGCACAAGGTTATGGTAATTTTCATAGGCCCCTCAGATGTCAGTGATGCTGCTAAGACCCAATGAACACATCTACTGTGTCACCATTATTGTCATCTACTGTCAGTGTCATCAGCCCAAGTTTATCTTGTGCAATTCCTAAACTGACAGATTTTTTTATCCTGTCCCAGTTTTGGAGCATATATTCTTCCTGTGTGCTGCTGCTTCAGAAATAAGAATCTGTTGTTTGCCATCTTATTCTCACAGATTATTGCACTTAAGTAGTAGACTTGGTATTTATACATTGGGAATTAGATATTTTATGAGATTTAGGAACTGGTTAAATTTGAAAAGGAGGTTGAAACATCATTTCTTTCATATTTTCATGTACCTACAAAATAGAACAAAACGTAGAAGTTTGAAAGTCCTGCTAAAGCATCTTTGAGATGCTGGCCTCCAGAAAGTTTATTCTTATGTTGCCCTCTCCTTTCACTTATTGAGGAGTCTATCGTGGCTTGTCTCATTTTTTTTTTCTTCTTTAAAATTCTCATTGGTACAAGAGAAGACTTCTCTGAATTTCCACAAGATGAAATTTCTTGTTAGTTTCTGAATCACTGCCTCTTCTATGTTCTACAATATTAAATCTCAATAAAAAGAATGGCTTTTCATCTGTCTTGCTTACATTTTTTAACTTTTTCTAATGTTGAGAACTGTTAAAATTAAGTATTTTCCATATTACATCCTTTGTTTTGGAGTCATAATTCAATTAATTTTCTGTATCTCATAATACCTACAGTGAGTACTGGGAGACATAGATTTTTAATATAAATGGTTTTGAATCAAGTAATTAGTTCATACATAATAATAATGTTGTGTGTATATGGATTTCAAGGAAATGGGAACAAATTAACAAAACCATTTTCACCCAAATAAGCAGTTTTGCAAGGGACAGAGTTTCACACTATATAAAAGTATGGAATGGGAAATGTTTGTTTAAAGGGCAAGTTGAGAATAGGACGTGCATATCTTCAAACAAGCGTAACTTTGAAGGATGTGATGTTGATTTGTGTGTCAAAAAAAAAAAAAAGAGAAGGTGTTCATTTAGAAAGGCTAAGACACACAAAGCAAGACCTCACTGGTCCTGTAAAACGTACAAAATAGCTGGAAAGACAAAGCCACCTACTCTACAAAGCTGTTCTGCCTTGTTACACAGTTTTGTAGCATGTTATTGGTTGAGTGCCACAACTGTGTATTGCTGCTTGTGTCTTTGCTTCGCGGTCACAGGCCTACCTACATTTTCCAATATTAAATCAGTTGCAGAATGCAATAGAAGAATATAAATATTGCAAAGTGAATCCATTTTCTACCTCATACTCTTAAGAGGCTAGGAACCTGAAATGTGTGAAACAGAGCACACTTCATAACTAAAATGCAATTTTAAATCCTTCTGGCTGAGGATGTACAGAAAAACAGTGGTGGAGTACATGGACTTCAATATTGCTCAGCATATATGGGGCTAACTGTATTGATGCTTCATTATCTGTAGGCTTTCCCATCAGTGCATTACTAAAGTTTGTGGTAGAAAAAAAATGTCTACATAGTGTACTACCAAAATATTTTATTTTATATTTGCAAAAAAACACCTATTAAATATATCATGCCGTGACCTGATACAATGCTTTAAAACATACTTCAGAAAACACTGACTCCCAGTTTTTGAGATGCTCATTGGTAAAAACATTTATATGGCAAAGATCTTTTAATTGGCTTACCAGAAGGCATTAGGGTAAGGAAAGAAAAAGGACAAATGGAGAAGAGAGGTAGTTATACAGAAGACCATAAATGGAAGCTAATAAAAAAAGGCAGGGTGTTTGTGAAAACTCCTGCATTTTATTTGAATGTAGCAATGTTGTTTTGATCTGAGATCCTGGTATGGTCACCATTTGAGCAACAACGCACAAATTAACTGAATAATGTCAAACTACACTTCTACACAGAAAGGGTATGTGGCTGGGTGGATGTTCTCAAACTCATTAGTTTGAGTTTGTAGGAATAGAGCTAGCAAAGTTACTGCATCTTATCTACCCATTGTGGTAGATTCAACATGTGACTAAAGAAATATAATGCATATTGAAACAAAGGTTTCCAGAACCTTTACACAGACCTCATGAACACACTTGCATGGATTCAAACCTGTGCACAAGACCCAGCACGATCAATATTGCAACATTACTAGATCACATCAGCTATCTGCTGTTCTCAGTAGTTTGCAACCCTAAACAGAACTGTGATGGAAGCACACCAACATTTAAACAGAGAAGTGACATTCATCAACATCCTAAAGAAGAAGAGTACATGTAGGTAGATTGCTCAATGGTATGGAGATGCAAAGGAGGGGATGCAACGGCACCTGAAGAACCAGAAAAGAAGTGTATAACACAGAAACAACCACAGAGATATTATCTCCTATTAACTTAGATCTCATTAAATTTTTATAAAACCACGCACTCAGTTACTATGCACTGTAAACTGCATTGAATTCTAGCTGTAGCAGATAAACTCATTATGTACCAGCCTCCCTGTGTTTAGTCAAGTCCTGTACTTTTTCTGCTTATTTATCCCTTGCCTGTATGAATATTTCAGTGGAGAACTAAATCCAGGAGATCTTTCTTTTGATCCCCACGCACAGAACAGAGGATATACAACAATATAATTATTGTATTAAACAGAAAGCTGCTTGGTCCTTAAGTAGTTCGTCACTGGTGTTCTTCTAAGAACAGACCATAAACATAAGAACTGGGATTAGGAGTGATATAACCCCTTCTGTAGTCACTAAATCATACTATTTATCAGATCTACTGCAGACTTCCTAGCACAGCTCTTGTAAAGGAGCTCATTTCTGACCTCAGATATTTCTTGGCTTTGGTTCACAAGTTTAGAGCCTATCTTGAACAGAGTTTGGCAAACACATTAATTTGTACCCTGTAGCCTCATTAACACAGCTTCAAATTACTGTAAATATTCATAGCCAGTTAAAGAAGTAGATTATAAAGTCCACAGGGAACGCTGATTTTAACACTACCCTATGTCAAATATTCTAAGAAAGATATTTATTTGACCTTGGACAAACATCAGAGACAGATAACTGCCAGCTATTCTTTCATAGAATCAATACAGGTGGGGAACTACTTAGTGGATGCTCAACATATACATCATTGATCCAAAAAAGCAAAGGGTTCCATATTAAATGGAAGGAAAAATGTACGTTGTTTTACAGGAATCTCTTGGCTTTTATAGGGTCATTCGAACAACTGGATACTTGCTGTTTATCTTGCACATTAATGCATGCCTGTATTATTGGGCTTCAGACTATGAAGGACTTGGCAGCACTAAATGGGTGTATGACGGCAAAGGAAACATGTAAGTCTGTTTCTCTTGCAAGAGACTTTTGTTGATTTTGCTCTTTCCCACATCCCCCTCCTTTTCCTATGCCTTTGCTTGCAAGGTATGCCCTTACTTTACAAGTGCTTGGATAGCAAACTTTTAGCACCATGACTGCTGATTAGCAGCTTTTATTACTAACGCATATTTGGAGGGCAGGTGCAGTGAATAATCAGTTTACAACTTTCAGCTTTTATAGGTTTATGAGTCAGTGCTAAGCACTAACTTAATTAAACATTTATAAAGCAACAAGGGTCATAAATTAAACTTACTGATTGCATATGCACATGGGAACTGTTAGAAGGATTGCAGAACAATCCCTCAAATGAATAAGAGGCACAGGGCTTTTTTCTGCCACACAGCATTTTGTTATTAAAATGCAACATTTTAGTCCTTCTAAACACCATGGTGACTGGTCTGAAAAAAATCCACCCACTTTCTCTTATCTTTTGAGAAGATCATGTTTAAACATGTGGCAGAGTGTCTCCACTTGGAAGGAATGGACATTAGCACGCTTTTCCATAAACTCCTTGTGACAGCACTAGGCTGGGTGCCAAGTAAAGGACATTCATTAAGATGATGGATACAAACCAAGAGAAAATAGGAAAGTCATAATATATTTTGTGTGTAGTTATATGAAAATGTATCTAGTAGGTTCAGATGTATGAACATTCATTTCTTTCAAAGGTCATAATATAGTTAAAGCCACAGAAGCTCAACTTGTTCATTAATTACATTCTTCAAAAAATCACATATAATATACTACTGCTGTCATAAATCACCCTTTAAGCAACTTTTCGCATTTCTCTTGGAGACCTGTTTCTCTTGCTTGTAATTTTGTCAGACTTCACGGGTTTGGTGTGAAGTCACTATCCTGAAGGGTAAGAAAATAGTCTGAGAGTAAAACACACTTTGTGTAAAGAAACATTGCTTTTTTTATAGTTAGGGTTCTCTGTCAAAAAATGACATGGCTGAAGTTTCCACACACCACTAAAATACATAGCTTGAGTACTGCAGTCAGACACATGCAAGCAGGGTCATAGAGCTCAGTGGGACCACTTATGTAAGTGAAGGTATACATAGGTATTTATTTGCAGGATCAAGGTTTCCAGAAATCTGACAAGAAAAATGCAGAGTGAACTTCTATTATAGATATTTTTGTTAATGTTATTCTTGGGAATATTTGCCTTATAGTTTAAAAATAAGGCAACTAAGACTGAGCAACTTAAAAATTCTGAAAACTGAGTGCTTACTCAGTCTTCAGGTTCTTAATGCTTCTTCAGAACAGCCTAGATAACAGGCAAGAGTCTTCCTGTTTTTCATGGACAAAAGTGTTTTCCATTTCACACAGAGAAACAATTGGCAGAAATTATTTGCTAGCTTGATCACAGACAAAGCAGTTGTGCCTAGAGTCAATGGTCAGATTTTTAAATATTTTGTGGTAACTTTTCCATGAGGAGACAAAACCACTTCTCAAATGATGCCACACTGAAATCATATGGGATTTAGGGCAGAATTTTTTATAAACAGAAATAATAAATTGATAATTCAAATCTTCATTAAACTGAGATGCTGAAATAAAATGCCTATTAGAATACATCCACTTAAGATTCATTAAGCCATTAATCTACTTCATCTTGACATTGGTTGATGAATGTATACCTTTTCATTCTTTTACCTGTATCTAACTCATTACTGGATTATATGGTCCCAGGTACCTGGGACAAAGAATATCTCATGTAGAGCTGCATTTCATAAAGTATAGCTTGGTATCCCACTAACAGTAAATGCCTTCCATATGGGATAGTCATTGCCTTAGAGAACCAGGCATGACATATTATCTGGTTGTTGAATATTTGGGGATTTTTGACAGAGAGGTATTGTGTGAACATTAGTTATTATTGGAGATGCAATGTGAGTTTAAACATATCAGACAAGATACTTCTAAGTATATTAATTTATTTGGAAAGCAGGAATTAAGAACAATCTGGGAAAAATCTGTCAGAAGAAGTGACATGAACTGCAGGATATATTATGGCACAGCAGTGCAGATGTAATTTCCTTTCACACAACAGTCAGAGTTGCCAATATTTGAAGCAAAATATGTCATTGGTCTCACATAGAATGGGAACACATTCAGAAAGAAGTTAAGACGAACATAACTTCTTAGCTAATTTAAAAAAAAATGACAGTAAGAACTTTGACAAATAAATCAAAATTCTAGTGGTCTCAGATTATACTGACCCAAAATAAATTATCTGGTACTGATTTAGTGGCATGAATTTTTTATGTAGAATCCCTGCTGTGTCCATAATATGTTGCCAGTTATGGCCAAAACCAGTTCTTCAAAATGTCAACACTTCTAGAATTATTCTCCTTTCCAGGCTAAGAAGAATACACAAACAATCGTTTTCCTTATCAATTTGATTATATATATGTTCCTGAGCAGGCATACTAACTGGTGAACCTCCATTTTTAACTAGCAGTTGTACGCAGCACTCAGACCACAAGTAAAATTACCAAAGTAGCTCTCTTTGCAGATTTCTGCTAGCTGTATTCTTTTCCAGCTCACGTCCAGACTCTAAAGTGTTAGTGCCAGTCCAAGAAGATTTGAGGTCTTCTGCATGGCAGCCTTCAATCAAAACCTTTGACCTGAGGTGCAAAAAGCAGTCAACTTTACCCCCTGCAACACGTCCAAATTAGCCACACAAGATGTTCCCAGCATTAAAACTACACTCATGAGCTTGGTATAATGAGGCAGACAGATCTCAGTCTCTCCTAAGGTAGAGGGATAGCATCCCTGATGCAACACCATAGTGTAGAGTCTATGTAACCACTGCAGCAGGATATTGAAAACATCTCTTAATTACAGCTAAGTGAACAATTTGAACAATATGTGTTTATTTACAATCTAATTTAGCCACCTAAGTAAGAGATTGGTTTCCCTAATTCCTCAGGAAGTTGTACAAATCCTCTAGAAAGGGATTCAAGGCAGGAAAGTAACATCATTGTTCAGAATTGTCCCATGGAAGCATCTGTCTTTTTCATCACTGCCCATCAGGGAAACTAAAACTGGGGAGCTGAAATTTTCATGCAAACCCCTCAGGTCAGTGTTATGTTTAGGCAAAACAAATCATTCCACTTCACTCATGGTATATTTCTTCTGCTGTTTGCAAGGCATCTACTAGTAGTTTGCAAAATTCTCCTGCATATTTATTAATCAAGACATCTATTTGCATCCTGATTATGTTTCTCTGTAGCTTGCTGCTTTCCTGCTCTGGGCACAGACTTATTGGATATCTGGAAGTCCCACAAAATGGTCACTGTACATGTCTAGAACAACTCTACTTCTTTGTTATGCATTGTCTAACACACAGTAAGACTGGCATAGTTTAAAAGGTGTCTTGTGAGTATCAGCTATACATTGAACTTGCAATAGGTCTGATGTGTCACACTCACAGTGCTTGCTATACAGAGGCAGTTTTGTGCCTCCAGACAATCTGTGAATGCACAGCTCAACTCATGTCAGACCTAACGCTTTCAGACCTGCTACTTGCAGCTGTACTTTTTAGATAAAAGCTTTGTAGTTCACACTGTTTTGTCTGAGATTATCATACCCACAGCCACCTGATGAATAAGTCACTCAAGAAAAAGAGGTACCAAGAAGGAGGTCATTAGAGCACCAGTTTATAAAGGCCACTTCCTTACTCTCCTTAAACCCCATCCTGGTTGTAATCTGAAAGGTGTCAAACATGAGAGCCCTGAAATAATGCTCCCCTGGGCTGAAATGAATGTGTGAATACCACCTTAAAATCTGATAGCCACATGCAAAAAGATTTGATTTACCTGTTTTAACCAAAACCATGTAAGAATTTGAGCGTATTCTGAAATGGACTTTTATGAAAAATATATTTCTGTTGGCATATTACAAGGTATCCTGTTTGCAGTGTTTCTGAGTGTTTGTATACCTAGGATTTATTATAGGGAAAAATCTAGTAGTTCAATTGCCTGAAGGATAAACATATTCTCTATGTTGTGCAGAAGGAAAATCCCTTTCTTGTCTCATGTTGTTTTCTTCAACAGTAATTTTATAGCAGGCTAGTAAGCTGTATGGTGAGCAATGATGGTTTCCAGACACTAGCTAGTAGGAAGCAGAGCTGCTAATACTGTTGAAATAGGAGTCTGTTTTTTCTGGCTTTCCTTAAACAAAATTTACAATCTCATTTCTCCCCTTCTTAGGGAAAAAAGCTCTTTATATTTCAACTGTGTAACTTTCATTTCAGATTAAAATAAAAACAATAAAATATATAAATGGATATAAAACCTGTGCCTAAGAGATAGTGAATACCATGTGACTTTGCCAGTAGAAAGCTGCTTTTGAAGTAAAATTATAGAAGAATATAATGTATTAGCTACATCTTCAGAAAGGCGTGAGCAGGTCCGAAAAAAATCTCTCACATTTTGGATATACAACACTGCAAAGAAGAATGTGACCCTCACACTCCTTTGAGAAGCTGCTTTCATTCTTCGTAGACATGCCCAGAATGAAGATTATATTGTCTATCATGGCAAATTTAACAAGCTTGTCATCCAAGGCCATTACGGGTGAGGGAGTTGGTTAATTATTTTTGTTTCCTATAGTAACTAGCACAGAAATATTGTTAATTTCTTTACTTTTCTATTAATTATATGTTTCAAGCACTACAATATTCTCAGTTATGGCAAATGAATATGATATTAATATGCTTTATATGATAATTCCCCTCAGAAAGCTAGAGACATCATTTTATGCTTAAATCTGCAATTCTTCCAAAACAGACCTGAGGCTTTTTCTTACTATTTATTTATCCTACAGAAGTTTAAGACAAAGCTGCCACTTATACATACTTTGCTGGAAGCATGCATAGGTGATGATTTTTTTTGAACCCAAGTGAAAATATTATAGAAGTGTATTCCAGCTGTTAATTTTTCACCCCTAACAAGGAAAAATTATATGATGTCAGATATGCAATAATTTTATTTATTTAAGGTCTCTGAATAAAAACAGCCAGTTCTGGTTGTTAAAATCTATAACTAGAAAACTATGATAAAAGTGATCATTGTTACTGCATGTCATTAATTCGCAACCAAGAAAGAAGTGACATTGTAATGAAAAGCAAAAACTAATTTTTTAGTAAAGCCTGACATTTTAGGTGAAAGGCTTCGAAACACTTCTGAGTGATTTAAATAAAAGCCCTAATCGGTGGTTATTGTGAGTATATTTTCTCATATTTGCACAAAACTGACCCTCCAATTATATTGTTACGTGGACCGGTTATTAATAGGAGTGGAGTTCATGTGTTAATAAGAAGGCAGTTTAAAAGTGGAGGCCACAAAATTAAAATGTACACCTGAAGTCTGCAAGTAGATCAGGTGGCCTCAGATTCAGGGTAGGCAGGAGTTGACGCATGCAAGACTGTCTATTTCAAAACAAACATCTCCAAAAGGATTTATTCTGTGTTGTTTGTTTTTTTTTTTCATGTTTCAAACTCAATAAAATTCAACAAATAGAAGGAATTTTCATTGCTTCAGAATCGATAGTCATAGATGAAATAATAGAAAATCTCATTGTATAATTAAGAAAAATGAACTTCTAATCATTAGTGAAGCTGAAGTCTAATTGTACAGAGACTTAGGAAATCAAATTCTAATTTAATTCCTAAACCAATTACTTGTTAGCTCAGAAAAAAAAGGAAATGATAACACATTCATGACAATTATTTGAACTAATTAATCGCCACTACACAGTATGGGGGATGCTGCATTACTACTACTGGTGACATGTTCTAGAACGAAATTCAAAACAGAATCTTAGAGATGGTAAAGCACTTCATATTTTTACATATGTATATTAAAAAAATTCATATGATTCGAATGAGTTCATATAACTATCTTCATGAAACAAACAAAAAAAAATTCTGTCCAGGTCCTTCGTTGCTTTCATAAACTTGTGTTATCATACTAATAGAAATACACTACTTGAATGCAACAGTCTGTGCCATGCACAAGTCTGTACAAAGAGAACAAAAAATCTTTATCCAAAGAGCGATACTTCAGGTATGAGAAGTGACAGACAACAGATGGATACCGTGAAGGAATCAGTGTAAGACATACACTGAAGCAGAGGCTTAGTGACTGACAGTTGCTCACTGCTATATTTGGTTTCTAGATCAAGAGAGGTCTGAGAAAAGTCTTGAATGGCATTAACAAACTGGTTTTGTAGCTATTGATGAACAGCTTTTCCCAGGCATGAGGGAAAGCAGTGAAGAAGGCAAGGAGGTGTTTGTTAGGGTGACAGAAGGGATAGTGGAGGCCAGCCACCAGGAGAAGCCAATGCAGGAGTCAACCTTTCAGTGCTGAACAAGTGAAGTGTTTGGAGAAACTGGATTAAGACAGAGCTTGTGGGAGCATGTAGCTTCTGTTTGATATAACCCGGGAGGCAGAGGCAATGAAGGGTGCTCAGAAGCAGAGTGGGAACACGAGAAGAACATGCATTTTTTGTGCCCACCATAAGGCTTCACACTGCTGTCATCAAGTGAAGCCATGGAAGAGACCTTCAGATGTGTGTGCATCTAGTATGCTACAGATAAACTCTGGGAAGTCTCTAACACTTTTAGGCTGTTTTTAACATCATGGCATCTTCACTGGTAACATTCTAACACTGTAATGTCGACCTTGGCCATTTGTTACAGAAGTCTTCTGTAATGCTGCATATTCTTACTGGAGAGTGGTAAGTAACCACTGCATTTCCTGTGTGTTCTTATTTTGCTGTCAGTGAGAACATTGTAGCTCAATATGATTTACATAACTGTATCATTTGTAAAATCATAACCCGTTATAAAAAATACAAAAGGTCTTTTGGACTGAAAAGCATCACTGAAAGGCCCAACTCAGGTAGGTAGACGCTTAACTTCAACCACACGAGTACCTACAGTCAATAACAAAAATGCCGTCTGTATCTACAGGTATCTGAGGTGTTACTACTGGGCAGTTCGTAGTTTAATCACAATAGGTGGCCTTCCAGAACCACAAACTCTGTTTGAGATAGTTTTTCAACTGTTGAATTTTTTCTTGGGCGTCTTTGTCTTCTCCAGCTTAATTGGTCAGGTATGTTAAAAAATCAGTAACTAGATACATTCAAATTACTGTAATGTGGTGATTATATAGTCAATTTAATGGATTTTGGTTCTGGGAAAAAGTTTAGTTTCCGCCTGAATGTCCCTGTATTTAACTGTCATCTGTACTTTTTCTTCTCATAAACAAATGTGTTTAACCAGTTCCCAGTTCTATAGACCTTTTGCACACAATCTGATTAAAAGCCAAGACTGCAGGATACAGATGATTCTTGAAACTATGCATAATTCATTTTTTCTTCCTCACAGCCAAGGAAACGGTTCCTCGAAATTCACATTATACTGTTAAATCTGATAGAAAATTTATAATTGTAGGTATGATTAATATGTACAAATTATTGAGTAAGTCATGCTCGATACTACTGCCAATAGAATACTGTTAATGGAAATCCCATGATTTGTCAAACTAGAATTCTGCTGTTTTCCATAAATACAACATATTTGTTAACCTGAAAATCAACTCTTTTCAATTTCTCTTGGTTCTCATTTGTCAGGAGGAAAAAAAAAAAAAAAAAATAAAGCACAGCAAATCATTTATATTTCTAAATGAATGTAACTGAAATATTTCTTGCTGGTAGCTATCAAACTTGGGCCTTAGGTGCATAGGTTTTAAAATACCTTGCCTATAGAAAAACTGATGCTATGGTTTTAAAATAACTTGCCTACAGACAAACAAATGCCCTGAGTCTTATGTGAGACTGTGTCTTACTGGTTTCCTATAGAAATCATTCCAGATTTTTTGATTTGTACAGTCTGCTATTGGAAGAATTATTATGACAAAAATAAAGATGAAAACTGAAATTTAATTTTTATTTTGAATATAGGATTTGAAAAGTTCAATCAAAGAGTTAAGAATTGCATCTATCTCTTGCTCTTTAGAAGTACCAGAGGAGATAACCATCACAAAACAGACTTTTGCCTGCAGGATTTAAAATTCATCCACAAACAAGCGTTACAAAAAAGAAAACACAGTGGTTCATATAAAATATTTGTTCTGGAAAACAATGGAATTCAAGTTTATTGGATTAAACTTCATAGTTTTCATCTTTATTTTTTTTTCCTAAGTTGATACAACTGTCAATGCAAGCACCATTCCTACAGAAGATTCTGCAGATTAGTTTCTGTAACCAGTATAGTCATTTGAAGACTCAGTCCTTAAATCTTAACACACAAACAGTTTAATTGCAGTTTGTTGTAGTTCCTATTTACAAAGAGCTCTTAAAATTACTGAGTTATTCCTGGTTTAGCACACTTGCCTAAAAATTGTTATTTCTATTGCAATCAATTACATCTCTGTAATAAAGAGCAGAATTCAGCCCACTGGCACACTAATCCTTGGCCACTGCAATATGAAGCCATTCTACTAAAGACTTGTCTATATAGTTATGCTTTTGAAGAAGGAATATCTATGAACATAAAGTCATCCACTTTCTAAAAGCTAAATTACATTTATGTTGGAATGCTAAATGATGTTTCTACACTAAAATGTTAAGGTCACCTTTCAACTCAAAGTGCATTTTCAAGACTGATCTAGATTCTCTTAACTATTTAATCAGTAGTAGGATCTCCATTCTAGTGGTTCCAGCTGGTGTTACTAGGGAAGTTTAGTCCAATTTGCTTCACTTCTGATTTGCATTGAACACCAAATGCAGAGTAACTTTATTATAGATCTTTAAGAAAAGCATTATCTATATTTTTCTTCCATGTCCAGAAATATGAAATAGAATAAGATAAAACTCACAAATGATTCCTTTAAAATCATAATAGAGACTTTCTAACACAATTAGATTCAATCTGTACTGCTTCTGAAAAAACACATGAAGCACCTATTCAAAATATGCAGTTGAATGTATAATTAATCAGTGATTTTACAAACAAGCATCTTATTCTTTTTATACGTTGCTGACAAGATATTCAAATCAAGACTATTTTTGCTGAAATGTGTAGTAACAACAACTGATGTTTGCAGATGAGAGATGTAATTGGAGCAGCTACAGCAGGACAGAACTACTATCGTTCCTGTATGGACAACACTGTCTCCTATATGAACACTTACTCTATTCCAAAAGTGGTCCAAAACCGTGTTCGAACCTGGTATGAATACACATGGGACTCTCAGGGAATGCTGGGTAAGGCTTTTCAATTCCAGTTAAATAGCAACTGCAAGTGAGAGTGTTTGTATAGATACACATATAGGGTGAAATTCACATTTCTCTTTTCCTGAATTGCAGTTGAGGAGGGTATTCAATTTACTTTAGAAAAAAGCAATATGATGCTTACTATTTCATAAATTCTATTCATTTATATAATGTTCCGGTTATAACTTGAGACAAGATATGTAACTTAAAAGACAATAGCTTAGTAAAGCATATTATCTGCTTCCTCTGTTGAACTCATAAATGCTAGAATAAATCCATTAAATTATTTTTCTGTACAATGCTCATTTTTATAGACATTCTTCCTTTATATTTTCTAACAAAGTTTGCTTTTTTTTTTTTTTTTAACAGATGAATCTGAATTACTGGAGCAGATGCCAACCAAAATGCAATTGGCCATTGCAATTGATGTGAACTTTTCCATCATCAATAAAGTTGACTTATTCAAAGCAAGTAGTTTTACAGGAGAATACAGAAATGTGTGATATTCCTGAGACAGAAACCTTGTTTTGTGCATCTCGCAACACTTAAGTGCATGTTTGTTAATATGCAAGGCAAAATAGGTCTATGAAATATCTCAGTTAATAGAGATATGTCAGAACAAACCCAAGTGCCTGCCTTTTAATTTTTTTTTGTGTCAAATCAAAGATTTTTGAGAAAGCGAATGAGATTAAGACACAGTTCTGTTATACTGACATATTAAAGCTGATGTTATGGTCAGACTGTACGTGATTTCAGAGTAAACTAATCTCAAGAGTCAGACATAGAAGAATGTAATTTTTAATACAGTCCACCTTGCTGTATACTGCCTTTGTCTGCCTGAGAGATCGCAAATGCTATGTGTTCTGGTAACATAACTTTGATGTAGTGAATGCTATTTTTTAGTAACTTTTTGTGCAAAGGCGTTTTCTCTTTATTATCATGATAGTTTTGCAGAGATATAATTTAAATGTAGTACTTAGGACTGGATTTCTGACACCAAAATGAGGACACACTGCATTTTGAGAAGTAGTGTTAACATACAGTAACCTTAACACTAACTTTTTTGTTAGTATAAATACGAGAAATTGCATGATATCTCTGTATAAACATTATATAGATGCAGTTTCTGCCACATTTGCTGAAGACATAGAACTCATAGATTCACAGCAACATTTGTCACGATCTGTTTTTCAACATGTATCAGTAAAAAAAAAAATAATATAAAAGACCCATAAAGCTCTGAACATATCACTGAGTTTCCACAGCAGATTTAGATGTATAGAATCTTACTTTGTAAAAATGAAGAGATGTTCAACCCAAAGAGCACTTTATAAGTCTTTGAAATGACATTTCTTTCATTCTTTTCTCTGCTCTAAATGCTGATCCTTATGATGTTTTGAGTTTGAATTCCACTTATAAAACCCTGATCATTCATGTATTGTTGGATTTTTCTGTTCAGTGTAAGCACTAATAGTCACTTGTACTACTGAATTAATAGAACAATCAATTCTAACTATTTTAACAGGGGTGCGATACCCAGATGATACATGACATGCTGCTAAGGTTGAAATCCATTGTGTATTTACCTGGTGACTTTGTCTGCAAAAAGGTGAGCATTGTTGTCTCTTTCAAATAATACTTACAGTATGTATTTTAGAAAAAGAGGTCAGCTATTGGTCAGCAGTGTCTTCTAAATAAAATTAATCCTGAGAGAATTAGCATAAAAGTAATTAAGGTATTCCATGTAATAATAACAAATGTGCTCTCAAATTTCAACCTAGAACAAGACAATATGGATTTTATTACTTGAATTATCAAACATAGACTTATAGTAATATGGGACAATATTTAATGTAAATATGGTTTATATATGGAAAAAATACACTGCATTCCATACTGTTCCTTCCAGTAGGATCTGATCTTGCTCTACCTTCAGGTGCAGCCCTGAGCCATCTCCAGACTTCCAGCTGAATGCTGTCACACTGTACCTTAGAAAATACAGCTACTCTTAGCATTTTGGCTTAAACATGGCGTTATAATAATGCAGGTAGATAGCCCAGCTTCTGAGCAAGTGAGCCAGTGTCTCTTTTCAGAAGGCATGTAAGTGTACTCATAGGCAGTGTAGGATGTGATTAAAGAATGGGGTATCAGTGCTGTTACTATTCTGGTGAGTGACACACAGTTCATATCACACCCAGAAGTGACCATCAGAACCCCTTGTCTTTAGCAGTTCTGGTCCAGCATGCTCACTAAGTCCCTGCTCCCTCCAAGAGTTAAGCATATGATCCTCTTCCCAAATGCTGAGTTAGTCCCACTGCTTGCACAGTGTAGGAAGTTAAACATTTGTGAATGCACCAAAGGATCAGGTATGTCCCTTCAAAGACCAATCCCAGAATTACTGTTGGCAAGGAACCATGGGAGAGTAGTTTGGTGTGTTTGCTTGTACAATGCACAGTATGAAAGGATCTTAGACTGTGGCTGGGACTCTGCCACAACAGAGATAATGACAGTAACAGATTAAAGGTCTTGATAATCCAGTCAGATGCAAACAGCTTTCAACAAGGATGGATTATGAGAAACTGAAGTATCAATTTATTACATCTTGATTCAGAGCTAAAAGGTCTCTCACTTGCACAGATCTACCATGTGGCCAACAACCATAGTAATCCTATTAATGCTGTAACATGTAGTAGGGAATAAAACTCTGTTGGAACTACCTCTTCCTCAGATGTATGTTGGCCTCATCATACTTTACCAAGGAGGCTCTGCATGCAGGCTTGGAGAAGCAAGTAAAGGGATAGGAAGTGCAAGCCCTGTTTTCAGTCCTGGCTTTGTTTCTGTTGTCTTTTCACTTTTATAATTAAACTGCTGTTTTGACTCAGTTACTCCAGCTGCACGAGTAGAAAAATTAGTTGCCTGCCTTACCGAGATGTTGTGAAGACTTTTATGATCATATTTGTGAAGTCCATTATATTACTCCAATTTTCCTGCTTTTTATTGTATATACTTACGTCACACTGTTGAATCCTAGTATATCACGTGGAGGATAATAAATAAACCAATAATCTCTTAAACCACCCAGTGATTACATAACAGTTGACAAAGTTTTGAATCATTGTTTCTTTTTATTTTCCTTTTAAGTTATGTAAGTGATGATTAGAAGTAATTGTATAAAAACTGAAGCTTTTTAGACCATGAAGCATAGGCTTTTTTACACTCCTATGTTTTTAAATACACTGCTGGAGTACTTTAGTTTCCACCAGAACAGTTGATGGAAATGACTGTTACAATCCTGATTTTTACCTAGTCTTCTTTTTCCAAGCTGGCCTAGATGGTCTCATTCCTGTTCAAATATTGTCCCATATCACAATTAGAGTTACCAAAGTTAGTCCTCGCGTTTGTGCTCAGTGCTAGGAAAAGTACCACAAACATTTATTTCCCCATAATACCAGCAAACCTGTTTATGAGAGACTGGAAAGATATTTAAAGAACTGTCTGTCAGATTATCCTAAAAAAAAAAAAAACAAACAAAAACAAACAAACAAACAAAAAACCCCAAACAAACAAACAAACCACTGCCCTGCAAAAACACGGGATCTTTATGTGTTTGTGTACCCAGGGAGAGATTGGCAGAGAGATGTACATCATCAAACAGGGTGAAGTTCAAGTCCTTGGAGGCCCTGATGGTACAAAAGTCCTGGTTACACTAAGAGCAGGAGCTGTATTTGGGGAGATCAGGTAGGTCCATTGCTATTTTTAACACTTGCTTTAGAACTGAACAAATAATCAATGGTTGTTAAACTTCCCTGTGGTAAGCATGACAGCTACCATGGGGAGACTAGAAAGGAGGTAGGATCAACCAAGAGGCCACTGAGCAAGGAGATGCAGGTTAGTGAAGGGAAAACTTAAGTGAAGTGTCAGAGACTAATCTGGTAAGATCTGAGACCAGTGTTTTTGGCTATGTACACAGGATATGCAGTCAAATTTCTCCTTGAGCATTTAAAAGATTTAACACATCTTCCTGTTCCAAGGTCTGCAATACAGCAGGACCAAATGCATTTTATTGTCTGTATAGTAAGACTAGGTGCCCTTAAACAGCAGATGGTAAAAATTATAATTAATTTCCAACAAACAAGATAAAAAATCTAAAATAGCAAATGAAACTAGATAATTTAGATGAAGTAGGGATTAAGTTACCAAAAATCAGGCATCCACGTTCCAAAATGTATTTGTTTAAGAGTATACACAAGAAAAAGGCTGACAGAGCAGATTTTTGGGTCTGAGTTTTTCTGAAGAAAATTTTTCTCTGGTGGCTATAAATGCTTTTTGATATTCTCCGTGTACTTGCTATGCAAAATTCATTAACTCTTATGTGCCATGTCTCCAGTTAGCCAACCAAGTCCTAGATAGACACTGCATCCCCTGCTGAGGTTGGCCTGAGGAAAAGTAAAATACACGTGCTGCTGCATGTGATAAACCGGACCCTTGATTTCTTCCAGCTGCCTTCCTGCTATTGTTAAACCTCTTGCTGGTCACTTTAATCTGCCTTTTGAAAAGTGGTAATCAGCTCTGTGCCAGGTTTACATTTATCTTCTACTTGTGTCTCCCTTTGTACTAGGGGAAACATTCTCCTTTATCCAGTGACGTGCATACAAAACTTACTTAGACCTCAGGTGGAAAACACCTGATATATCCCATAGATACAGACCTTTTTCATTGAGTGGGAAAGTGAAATTATATCAGCTCTTTGAGAGAAGGTTATTTGAAACGTTTTTCTCTGTGTGACAATATAATACTTGAGCAAAGCCTCAGAACAATATGCTGTATTGTACGTTATGTGGAAAGGCTGAAAATGCACTGGGTTTCAGTAAGGGCTGAATAACTAAGAGATAAAATAGAAAGCTACAGCAGCCCAGATATGTAACACACACATGGTTTTCCATTATTTATTAGTCCTGTATTTGGAGCAAGGACTCTATTTTTTAAACTGAGAAATTATAATAATTGGTTTTAAAATGGCAGGGATTTTCAAACTTTTGATCTAATATAGGTGAGCACTTGTTTCCATGTGAGAACTACACAATGGCCTTTACAGATCCATTTCCCAGTACATGTTACTCTTTACATAATTGACAATATGACCAGTGTAATCATCAGCAATGCTATAACCCTATGCTTCTAGTCTTGTTTTATTCATCATTCACCTACCGCAGCAGCATACCCTATCAGACACTTGTAATTTGCATATAAATGTCAGGCAGTGGATAAACTCGAGGAGAAAAGACACAGCAACTTGCAGACACCTACAAAATCGAAGAAAAGCAAAGATATGAAGCACTAAGTGTATCAGTAGAGATTTATGCTCCTCCTTGTGGTAAAATGTTAGAAAATAATGAGTTTGTATAGCGTCTTTCTATATAAGTTTTGTCAAGGTCTTCTGAATATCATATAGCAGAAACAAATGAAAAAAATGTTCTTTAATGGATGAAATATTGCTTCATTTAGCAAATCCATGTTTTCCCCTAAGTATTTATAGCGTGTTTATCACCTGATATCAGACTGACTTCCTTCTGATTTCTGATTCAAGATTCATTTAGAGAAATATGTCAGCTTCATTCTGAGTGGTTTAACTACATGATTTATAAGATGCTTGCTATTTAATCTCACTTTGTTCATGTAAATGCATGTAAATGATGCTTAAAAAGTCTGAGGGCAAAGAAGTTGAAGAAAACAAAAAATGTTTATTTCAAAAAATTTCCCTGAATTATACCAGAAGGCCAATGCAAGACTAATGTTCAAACAAGTCCTTTGCCAATTTAATCCTTGAAAATTACTACAGAAACAGATTAAGTAATAGCAGTTGCCCTCCAATTAACATCTTACCCTCATTACTACATTCCTGTATAGATAATATCAGTTTGGGGAAGCAAAATAATCTCAGAATCAGAAGCAAACAGATTGTTGCCTTAATGAGAGAGCCTGTCTGCACAGATAATTGAGAAAGAGAAATTTAGCTATAACACAACACTTCATTAGCCCAGAGAAATTTACCCTTTAAGACAGATGTCCTTGTTCATCCATTTACTGATATTTCACTAGAACTATTTCCTATCAGAAAATGGTGATTCTGGAAAAATTAAAATGTTTATCCATTATGTGTAAATTTTTGCCAGGAAGATCTCCAAATGTTTGATCTCAGCTTTACCTTTTCAGGTTTTTTGTAACTTTAACTTTTACTAAAAAAAACCCTAAACTACAGTGAGAATTTAGCTTTGTGAAATATTAGATCTTCCACTTTGACACAGGATTTCCCATGCAGTGGCAGCTGCTGCTTTTCAAGGTGCTCTGCCTTTTGGTGTTTGACATCCTGCTCAGAAGCAAGATCCAGACCTATTTCTCTCTCCTGAGTTACCAGTTATCTCCACATGCACGTAGGTGCTGAGCTGGGCCACCACAACCCTGCACATTCAGTGAATACATATGTGATTCCCTGGATCAATTTGCTAAATGAACAGCAGCTTCCTACAGAGATCAGCCATGAAAACCAAACAATAAATAAACTGAGTCATCACTTTGACATCTTTATACCTTGAAATTAAATTTGCTAGCATAAGAATTCAAAAGTTATCATTTCATACTAATATTACAGCATTTCAGTCTAACAATTGGACAGTAATAAATGTAAGGTAAAAAAAGCTAATTTCTCTATCAATGTAGATATCACATTATCAATATCCATTGCAAGGCAAATATAGTTATTTTAAAAAATTTGGTCTATCAACTTCCTCTCAGCACACTAGCCAAAGCAGATTCAACGATGAAGTCCATAAAGCTGTCCTTAGCCAAAGATGATTCTGCTTGAGCAAGGACTGCCTTGTAAAATTCACTTCACATCATCACCATAACGAAAAGGCTGATCTCTTTAGTCCTAGTCGGTCTCGATAAAATGAGCTTTCTGTTAGGAATGCCTGAAAATGATTCTTCAATGACTTGTTGAGAAGTGATTCATCAGAACTCAAAAGCTGTTTGCAATTTTCCTTAGCTGCTTTTATTATTGTGCAAATAGTTTTATTCTATCTGAGGAATTGTACAGAATTGTTTAAAAAGAAGACAATTAACTGCATTTTCAGCTTGAGTTCATAGGTTGATTGCTGTCTTGGGTTGCAGAAAATCAGTGCGTGCGTGGGTATGTGTGTGTGTAAAAATAGCCTTGTACACACAGTTTCAGAAGCCGCATACTATCCTTTATAAATCAAATATATTATCTGTATAATCTAATATTTATAAATATGCTCTATTAATATATTTACTATTAAACCAAATATTTCTATACCCTTGGTTAATATTTAAGTAAGTGTTAATTCATGTTTTATGGGGTCCACTCTACCCTTTATTAATAACTTTTAAATTTAGAGATCACTAAATATTCTCTAAAAATATTAACTCACTGGGAAATACTTAAGGGACAAATTTTAGGGTAGATCTCCTTGGATTACAGTGATAAAGCAATTTTACTACTAAGAGCAAAATGCAACTTCTCTTGCTTTTGACCACAGCTGAGAAGTGAAGAGTCTGTTTCATTTGCTTAATGCAAGATGAACAATTTAAATTTTTTTTTTTTCTAATCTCTATGTGGATATCCTTCCTATGGCCAACTGCTGCTTGCTGGTCTAATGCCTTGCTTTCGAAACAAAACAGCCTTCTTTTTTCTGGCAGATATATTTGTAACTGTCAGCCTGAAAGACCTTTCTAATCCATATCTTTCAACTTTCCTACATTAAAACATGAGATGTGGTGTGAGAAAACTGAAAACCAGAGTCCCACAGAAGTTATTCACTCAGGAAAATTAAAATTCTTGGAGAATCATTCATTCATTGCAAATAACTTTCAATAATAACAGACTTGTGCTGCTCTATTTCTGATGTAAATCATTTTCAACAATAAAATTGAGGAAATGCCAATTTCACATGAGAGCTAAAAAAAACCTGCAGTCCTCACAGTGGGTGTCTCTTGGGAGAAATGTCTCTATCTAGCAAGACTTTTCACAATCCTTAGCATCTACATATGCCTGACCAGTAGTGACAATCTGCCTTCCTGAGGCAAGAAGCTGTTTCTAATCCCAACTGTAAAGGATCTTTACAGAACATCAGGGGATGTAAGTGAGCTTTACGATGACTCCAGTGGAGAACCACCAGCAAAGAGATTCCTCACTAGGGCAAGTAACGATGCGACTGATGATGTTTATTTTCATTCCAGCCTATTAGCTGCAGGTGGAGGAAATCGAAGGACTGCCAATGTGGTGGCTCATGGTTTTGCCAACCTTTTCATTCTGGACAAGAAAACACTCAATGAAATCTTGGTGCACTACCCTGACTCAGAAAAACTTCTCATGAAGAAAGCAAAGTATGTCCTAATAGTTTTTAAATCACAGAATTTAGCTGCAGAATGGACAGCTGTGGCTTCTAGATATATTTGCATTGCTTTCTTGGAAGCATAACAGATGTAAACACATTTGTATTTAGAGGTCAGGTTTGCCTGGTAGTAGGTAGTGGAAGTCATGGCCTTGGCAGAGGTTCCAAGGGTTGTGGAAATGTGGTAAGTAGAATGAAGTCCTGAATGTAGTTGCCTTCTCTGTTATATTTAAGGTAACAAAACAAATAGGAGATACAGATGGATATCAGGACTCCTTACACAGTCAAAAAAGAAACTGTAGGACAGATGTCAGTTAAGGAGTAAGTTTTCAAAGACGCAACCGAACACTCACAATTACTTCTGCAGAGGTATGCTTCAATGTACCCATGGACCCATATGCATTTCCAAAACCTTAAGCAGTAGTTAGGAAAGGGTTTAAAGGCTCAACAAGATGGAATTACACAGACTAGAGGCGTGCATTTTGTTCAAAAGGATTCTGAAATTAGATTTCAAACCCAAACTGCTCTTCATCTTTCTTTGGCTGTAGCTTGCTAGAATCACCTTTCTCCCAGCTTTGAAAGGGCAAAATATCGTCAGGTTTTTTGTCATAAAACTACGACAAAATGAGTACCTTGCTACCTTGTAAAAGGTCCAAATACTTGAAACTTTTTGTCGTTATTAGTATACTTCAGCACTCTTATTGTTCTCAGCTGTTGCCTTGCATTGCTATCGAAGGTTGGGAGGTTGCTCCCAGTCTTGAAATTCCACCAGAGAAGACTAAACTTAGCACAGGAGTTACATCTTGTTTAGTGGAAGTGCTAGCAGATGGTTGCATTCAACATGTTTCAACAGTCCTGGTTGTCAAATGACAGTATCTTGGGAATCATCACATCTCTGAGAAACAAGGAACCTAGACACAGAATGGGCTGATTGCCCAGTTTCCAAAACCAGCATCAACAGGTAGAAAGGTGGAACAAATCCACTGATTGATGGTCCCCAACATTTATTTTCCCTGACTTTTCTCCAGCTTCTTTCTAAACAGTTATATGACCATCATTACTTGTTATTCTGGTCTCTCTGTCCCATACTACCTTCTGCTTTCTTGTCCACCCTAATCATATCCTGCCAAGCCATTAAAATCTGCTTCCTCCAGATAACCTTTCTCAACTGCAGGAGCTTAATCACTCGTCCTTCGTATCTGCACTCCCATTTGACCTCAAAGCCCTCTCTAGATATCAGACTACATACAGGGTATCCTGCTTAATTCTAAAGGTATGTAGTATCTGCCCTGCCCTGTGTTCTGCCCACCTGTCTGGGCATCCACAAATTCCCCTAAAACTCCCTTGCTCTACATATGGTTTGCCATGTTTTTAGAAAAACTAGGCACCAACAGATTTGTGCACTGTTTTGATAAAGATTGCAGTTAGTTCAGTACTGAAATCAAGTTATCAGTTGCTCTGCCCTGGAAGGTTTACATTAGAGTTCTCTGTGGGATTGCATTGGCCATCCTACACCTCTGAAGTGCGCCTTGAAATAAACTCAAAGGATTTATTCAAGCAAGAAATTTGTTCAAGTATCACCTGTCTGATAGTCACTGTATGGTCTTTACATAATAAACTCATGCAAGCTGTGCAAATGTACTTTTAAAATTTATTATAATAAAACTTAAAAAAAAAAGATCAAATCTTCACTTCTGAAATTCCCAAAGTTATAAAGTACAAGACATTGGAGAAAAGTATAGTAGTATGGGAATTAATGTACTTCATAGTGCAAGCATAGTCCTTCTTCATAAAAAGCCTTAAGTCGGGTCTTTTGCAAGGATAGGGAAGTTTCCTTGAAAACTGAACAGTAACCTAATAGAAATGGAAAGCATGGGAACACTCTGCTTTTCACTGGTTCCATCTACCTCAGAACTGTCATCTACTCTTTACCCTTGTCATTCATTCTCACTTCTTGTGGTTATGACTGCAAATCAGTACCACTGTGGAAGGGTGTGAAAATCTAGTCTGCCACATGATTGGCAGTAATTTTTATATCTTTAGGGTGTCTTCTTCTACTGAAGAAAGCTAAAAATAAGTACAACCATCTAACCTGAACTATGAGAGATGAGCCTTGCTGGAAGTTAGTAAACTTACTTCCACAAGCATCAGCTGGACTCCCAGTTGAGCACTAAACATTCTCTGAACTCATATCCAGACGGCCAGGTAAGAGACTGCCACCCCAGGCAGAAGGCATCTATTCCCCTCCACACTACTTTTCAATTTATAAAACTCTCATCTGCTTTGCAACACCTCAATTTGAGCCTGTACTTGTTTATTCTCCAGGATGTAGGTAAAAAAACTCCAAATTTGAAAAGTAGACTCCAACTCTAGCAGAGCCTTTCCTTTCCAGCTTTGCTCTTGCCACTAGACCTAGGATCAAAAAAATAATAATAATAATAAAAAAAAAAAAAAAACCAAAAAAAAAAAAACAACAAAAACCTGGCTGGAAAAGTGGCCAGATTTGCATCTATGTATGTGACATTTTAGCTGTTCAGGAGCTTTGCTCGGTTTCACAGCACTGCTGCGTGTCCTCATTCCTTCCTGTCTCCAGGGTGCTGCTGAAGAAGAAGGGGGAACCCTCTCCACCAGTGCGACAGCCACGGGGCTTGGCCAGTCTCTTTGGGCAGAAACAGAAAACCCCAAAATTGTTTAAAGCAATGTTTGAAAGAAAAGGAAAAGAAGGTCTTGTGAGGCTGCTACAGCTAAAGAGGCAACAAGACATTCAGGTAATGCCACAGAAAATAGATTCTTCCAGGAGCTGAAAGAAACTGGGAAGGCTTGGGCAAACAGAGTAGATGAAAATGTAGCCTTAACACAATCAACAGCAAAAAATCCCAGTAGCTGAGATATAATCACTGTACCTAATCTTTATAAACACTAACTCTAGAATTTGGCTCAAATTTTCCTGGAGCTAGACTCTATGCAGGACAGAGAAAACAAAAGCAAATGAAAAGCAAGGAAAAAACCAAGTAAACAAAAATCCTCAAAGAAAGGAAGGATAAAATAGACTTTACAAAGACTGTAAGGGCATCCGATGATCTAATTTTATGTAATCAACAGAAAATACAGAAATATCCTAACACAGTAATGTGATCCAGCTGACTCAAGCACATGGTGAACTTTCCAATTTAAAGTCAGATCTCTGTTTGTCATAAATCCTGAAGACAAAATTTAGAGTGTAGCTCACACAGCTAAAACCGATTAAACCTCTAATATATTGCACATATGAGGAAACTGTTATTTTAGTTGATGTAAAATAATTTCCACATTATACTCTGTTCTATGAAATGTTAGTGTTAATAAGAACCTGCTCGGTTCTGCATATTCACTCAAAGGTGGCAGAATCCTTTCTGTCTTTATAGCTGAGCTAGTTGTGTTTTTGTTTATTTAAGTTAAATAGAGAACTTTGCTTACAGAGATGACTGCAACAACATGATCGGAGCAGAAATGATGCTCAATTTAATGAGCAAATAGGCTTGCCCAAGGAACTGGGGCACTGGACAGTATGTCAAGTTTTATATAACACTTTTTCTTTCTATACTAGTGTAAGTACATAAAGGAAGGCAAGACCTAAGGAAGGGTTGTGTGCCCCCAAGCATGCCAGTTTCATTCTGCTGTATTAGTAAGAAGCAGATACTATCACTGTCTATGAGCTCGTCATAGGTTTTATGTTGATGTTCTGATTCTGAAATTGCATTTTTCATTTAGAAACTGATTTTCAGCTTCTAAATACAAGTTTACATACGCTGCATACCATTAATCACAATATCCATGCTGTGCCTTTCCACTGCATGCACAGAATAGAACTACTTAATTTCTTCTGCAGTATTGGAAAACATTTAACTTCTTGTTTATAGGCAACTCAAGCTGAAGCAAAGAAGCCTGAACAAGATGAGAAGAAACCTGCGGAGCCCGTGGCCTCATCTGCACGCCCTGTACAAAAGGAAGAGCCAAATGCAGATGCTAAGCTTAAACCTGCAGCTATGCACAGAGGAACCACGAACGAGTCTCTGATCATTAGTATGTCTCCATCCCCCAGAGCAGAAGAAGAGATCCTTAAAGTTGAAGTTAAAGAGAAAAAAAAGAAATAGATGGTGCTTTGAGCTGTGGCCCCATCCATTGTCTTGCTGAATTTGGAGGGCTAACAGAACTTTGCTTTTGGGTACAGAAGATAAAAGTGGAAATTACTCAAGAAGAAAAATTCACCCCAGCTCCTCTTCTTCTCTGCCTCCTCTCCTGACACAACTGGACAAATTATTTGTATACTTACCTCTTAACCTTGAGCCTGAAGAGAGAACTTCAGGTGTAATAGGAATTAGAGCTCAGACTGTATTTCGGGACCACTTGTTCTTGTTTGATCCATGCTCTCCCTCATCTTCGTCTTGCTTCTGCTCCCCTACTCCTATTTATCCTGATTTTATTACTGTTTGTGTTGCTTAGTTTGCTCTTAATTTTTGTATGTGTCCTTTTCCATTTTTTTTTCTGGTTTCCCATAGTTATGCTTTTCCTTGTTACTGCCCTACTGTTGCTGAGGTTACTTACGTTTCTCTTGATCCTTCTCCCTCATAGCTTTATACTTCTAATCAGTGACCTGCTTTTGTGACCAGCATGGCTCAGTGCAGAAAGCTGTGACGCTGTGTGTTGGAATGTTTTAGCTTAGGACACAGGGCTAAAGACAAAGCTATTTGCAAAAAATAAAATCACAAGATCCACAAGGCGGGAAGCAGAATGCAGAATTACTGCCAGCCCTCTAAAAGCACAAGCATCTGCTCCAGTTTTCTCTGACTCTGATGAATAAATACGGTAAAGACTTACATGTTTCCCCTCTACAGCCCAAGGGTAACTTTAACTTTGGGCTGCCAATTCACGCGTTTGATCTTCCCAAGGGGTTAGGTATTAATAACGCTCACTGAAGAGTAAGAAATTGCCACTGGCTAACTTCTTAAAAAATCTTGGCATCTAACTGGCCACTTGAAAAATAAAGGCTATTTCATAAAAAGCAGGAATTACACTTTCTGGCTCTGTGGTGCACAGTTTCAGCCAATGCTCCAGTTGTTCATCCTCCATCACAGACCTCGACTGATGGGGCAAAGTGAGCCCCATCCTTCCCAGGGCTGAGCCACATCATACCTGTGAACTAACGTAAATCCTTTAAGAGTGCCACAGCTGAGGATACAGCTTCCTGACAGGGAATTCCCACACTGTCAACCCTCTGCATCAAATCATCATAGATAGGGATGCAATATTAAACAAAAGGCTGAAGCTGTGCTTTAATTCTCAATTACTTTTTTCTCTTCCACGGGTTTGCATCTCCTCTCTCTCCATATCCCCTTCCAGTCCCCACTGAAACCAGATGAACAGTTTTGGGAACTAAAACCATCATGCAGAGGCTAAGTTAAAAAAATTCTAAGGGCAGGCTTCACAACTCCTCTGCTGACCAGGCAACCAAGGAAGGCACTCTGCCAAAATTAAACATTTGCTTTGCAGGCTATATATGATCCTGAGGGCTATGCATTCTGTATGCCTGTTCTTTGAAGCCTCTGAACTTCTCTAATCACAGGCAAAGCTGGCAGCCCAACCAGAATCAGTGGGAGCTTTGCCGGAGTAAAAACTGGATGACTAAATTCTGTATGTTGTATATTCCACACATCCTCTGACATGACCAAACCTCAAATCTCTTTCAAAAAGTTCTGCCAGAGTAGCAGTAAGGTCAAGGTTCAACTGCTATGGGTGAAGAACTATCTTTATTTATATGTTACTTGTTATCTGATATGGAAAAGGAGGTCACAACTGAGGTAGAAAATTATAAGATGCATCATAATGAATTATTCATCTATTGCACATCCAGGAACATCTCAATACAATCTCAAAATTAGAAATACTGCAGAACTGCTTCACTAATGAAGCTTTCTGTGAATAATGAACTATGAATTCATTACAATATATGGTTTTCACTTTTTTTTTTTTGAGGGTTGTCAAAACATTATGGAAGGGGGGGGGGGGGGGGAAAAGGCATAACCCCCTATATTTTAACAGATATTAACTAGTAAAGCTCGCTCTCATTGCAAAAGATCCAGTTCCCTTCTGCCTGCACAAATGCTACCAGGCAACTTCAAATATTTTTACTGCTGGCATATTTAAGTTCATCAGTCAGACACCGACATATATTACAAAGCAAGGGATGAGACTGCAGCAGCAAGCGTTACACCGCAGCAACAGAGCATCCCACGAGCTGCTGCTTTGCTACAGCTCAGGATTGCAGGAAAGCCTGTCTATTTTATCTGCAAAATCACCAAGTTACGCACAGCTCTTGAGTTCCTCAGATGCAAAATGAGGAGGAAAAGTGCAGGAGATCATGGCCACACAGAAGCAACATCCGTCTGGTTTCCTCTGACATTCTACTTTTCTGTTGTTGGAGTATTTTCCCCTTCCCAGAATGCCTCCATTTTTAGGGGTGGGCAAAGGCAGGAAGGTTCCAGGAATCCAAGCAGCAACTATTTACAGGATTTTCACCAGAAGGAATGACACAAGAAAGGACAAGTTGTATTAAATCCTTTCAGGAACTAATTTACTAATCTACCCCGTAGATTCTTGACTGGTGGAGAAGTGAATTCTCTAAAGCACATAGAAGACACCTTTCAGTACCACAGCTCACTCAGGTTCTGTATGGCATTGCACTCCGCTGCAATGCCCTGTCTCTAGTATCTCTGTTTCCCAGTAAAGCATCTCAGACTTGAATACACATGAATGTGGAGAAACTGAAGGGTGGAGCAGGACAATGTATTTGAAAACTAAATGTAAGCAAATCTCCATGCGTCTCCACTCGAAATGCAGACACTGTTCTGAAAAATTTTGGAAAACCTGATAATAATTTTATGAAATAACATTCATGGGAGAACTCTAACATGGCAAAGAACACGAGTCACTGCTAAAAATGTCCAATTTCAGAATTTCATCTTGCTAAAAACCAGTATGAGATGCTTTATGAAAGATACACACTGCACATTCATAACCACTGAATGAAAAATACTTGTTATAAATCTGAGCTGTTCAGCCTGTGGAATAATCATAGGAACTGCAAAAGCAGCATTTATCATTACATAGAAAATGCTGAATACAAAAGCACAACGGAAGAACAGTATACTGAAATGACTTTTTTAATGAATAGGCATTGTAAATCAGTTAACTTCATAAGAACTGAAATATATAGGAAAGTAAAAAATTCTGGTTACAGGTTATTTCTCTGCTGTACATATGTATATATTACGACTATTAAACGGCAAAAAGCATCAGATTACAGAGACTGCTATACATCATTTTTATCACAAGGTGGTGCGAGTGACCCACAAGCACATTCACTTTACAAAACTTTGACAATATTTTGCTTTGTCACCCTGAAGCTAATAAGGCATTTTTTACATATAAAAATAAACAAAAAATTGGCAAAACAGCACAGTGACTCCCCTCCCCCTTGACTCACAATCTGCTGCATTCCTTGACTCAAAATATTGCTTAAGCCTAACTTGGAAGTTTCCAAATTTTTCAACAGGCATTAGCTGTACACCTCTAAGAGAAGTTATACCTGGAAAATGGTTCCTGCCCCTGTCACATCTGAAACACTTTCCTTTTACACAGAGTAAGGCACATTGAGAAATAGGTGTAGTAGATCTGCTATGTAATTCCCTAAGCTGGAGGAACGTGGGGGCACTTTTCCAGTAAGAGATAATGAATTCTCTACTGTAGAAAGTCAGAATTTATGTATAGAATACAGGCAAAACAAAAGGCTTTCTTTTATATGCAGCATATATTTAGCATAATATTTATTAACATATTTAAATGCATTTAAATGCACTTCCACTGCAACTTAAAACAGAACTGGTAACAGAACTCAGACGCAGCATTATATTTTTGACACAGCTCAGAGGAACTTCAGTAGTATACACTACTCCTATCAGTAGTACTCATCCACTTCAGTGAATCTAGACAAAGCATTAATACTGCATCCAGTTACGTACAAGGAGCATGTAGCTGTGTAACAGTTTACTGTTCCAAAATCATATAAATATCAATTTACAGCACTGTGACTTAGGTTCAATCTAACTACTTCCTTAATTTTAATATTTTGTGTTGCATATCTGGCATGACACTTCATTATAATTTGTGTATAAAGTAGTAACACATTTGCATTACACTGATAAAAAGATGTCTGTAGATTCTTATATAAACACATGAATTAGATTTAAAAAAAAAAAAAAAAGAAAGAGCTTGGCTTAATATGAAACGAAATCTCTTCCTTAGTATGCCACTACTGAAACTATTTAGGACCTGCTTCCACCAAGGAAAATGGGATGAAGAATAACATATTCATTCATGACTGATAATTTGTCAACTGCCCACAAAACATTTGGTGTTTTACAGGATGCGTAAAACAATCTCAATACATGTATCTTTCATTCATCAATGTTATTGTGAATTCAGACTTTTGACAGCATTATAGTGGACAGGAAAAAAAAAAAACAAACCAAACCAAAAAAAAAAAAAAACCAACCACCACACCACACAGCAGCTCCAGCAACTAAAAAAGAAGTCACAAAGTCACATACACTACAACCTGGTGCAATCTTGCATGCCCAATTATGATAAATTTAGTGTTAGTCCATTCTGTTCTTACATGTTATAGCTAGACCATCCAAAAATCAGATCAACTGGTTCTCTAACTCTAAACCACTTCAAAAGTGGAACTGCAAAATTAATATTCAAGATTGAGGTGGGAAGTGTGACCTCTACACGCACTGACAGGATCAGAAGAGATCCTCAGCAAGCAGTATGCAACTGGAAGACAAGAAAGCTTCATCTATCCAATAAGCAAAGACAACATGATTTACACTTGATGTAAATGGTGAAGAGAAAACTCAAACCAAGAAAATAAAACAGAAATTGTTTGCCCTAGAAAAATCACAGTATGATTACAGGATTAGAGCTTGGAGACTTTCTTATGCTTTCCTACTGGAAGGGAAGAGGGAAAACTGGGTTTTTTGCAGGCACTTTTCATTAGTGGGCTCAAGAAAAAGAAGCATGATTCAAAATATGACAAAACCAATATAGGTAGCACTTTCAAGAACTGCCTTTGCTTGAAAATATGCAATTATAAATCAGACAAAACTTTTTAAGTAAAAGCCTTCACAAAAAGCCCTTTAAAGATCAATAGTCATGATTGTTTTAGGGAAAAGAACAAACCAAAACAAAATCCCAGCCAAAATAAAATCTGGAGTTTGTTTTTCAGCACAGTACACACTGAAGCACATGTTACAGCCTTTACAGTAGCAGCCTCAAAGGCCAATAGTATTCTTCTGAGATGTTAGAGGTTTACCTTGATTCACCCTAGTTATTCCTGTACTACCTTAAGAGAATGCATACTATGAAAGAATATATATTTTAACGACTTATTTGGCTCATGTTCACACAGTCCTGAACCCCAGGCACTGGCCAACAGCACTAAAGTGGCAGATGTGAAGTAGGCATGCAAGGAGGGCCTTTACGCTCTGTTCTGGCACTTGTCTAATTAAGAAACTCCTGTGACAAAATTTTGTTATGCCAGTTTAACAGACACAGAAGCCTGAACTATTCCAGAATCGTTGTAGCACGTACAAACTTCTATCTGCTTGGTGAGGATACACCCTCTTTTTCATTTCAGACTGGTTTTACGATCACTGAGAAACTGCAGTCCTCCGTGCTGATCCCCACAGCAGTAACTGAGCACTCCCACTGGCCACGTTTATCACGGGCAGCTGTTCCGCTTCCAGATGTTCTCCCCCTTCACTCTGCATATCCAACCTCTTTTGTTCCACTCTTACTTTTCAACATACAATGCACCCATGTAAGCCCTATCTTTCAAATCAACATCAAATATTAACACAATTATAGTTTTGGCCCTTAAAAGGCACTCTTGGCAAAGTGATTTGCAGGCAAAAGCTAACAGGAGCTACCGTACAGAGGTGTGTGCATACATGTACACAGAAGTATCTCCAGAACCAAAGTCTGTGGATACAGCAAGTAAGGCAAGCACGAAGTCTCAGCTCTCCTGCTCAGCCCATTCACTTTGCAGCAGGATTCTTCGGAGGCTGCAGTTTGTAGGTGCTGAAGTAGTTCACCACTTGCTGAGGGATTTCTGCCAGGACACACTGCGACAGAGCCTCCTTTGGAGACTTAGGAAAAAAGAACATCAAGTTTCAGTTTCCACCGTTAACAGAGATCTTAAGATGGGTAGTAAGTACCTCCTCTACTAGGCCAATTTGCAGTCTGACATTTTTACAGAGACCTTTACACAACACCCTTGTGGGACTGGCAGAAGCTTCCCTGTCATCCTTACCTCTCGCTCCCATTACCAGGAACCATCTGGCTCTCTTGCTCCACTGAAGAGCAGCTGGGTGAACAAAGGGCTCCCATGTCTGAAGGTATCTTTTGTCATACAAAATACACACATACAGTGCAGACAAACTTCAGCCATGCAAACACACTTCTATCTCCTTAAAATGACCCTTCAGGGGCTTGCGTCATCATTTGCAATCTTTTGCACCAAGTCTCATCCACAGTTATGGTATCGCTACAGAGCGGGTCTTCAAGACACACTGTTTTTACTGTAGGATTAAATATCCGTGGGGAAAAAAGCACCCTTCCTTCTAGAAACTGAAAGCATTTGAATATGTAATTTTGTACTGAATATAGACCCTAGCTAATCTACATCTAAGTGCACTGTTCAGTAAACATGTATTTATTTTGTTCTTTCTCCTTTCAGCTTGCCCAGGTTGCTCTAAGTTTAAACAAAGAATTTGTATCAAAAGGAAAAATAAAAATACAAAGACAAAATAAGAAGGCATAAGTATTATTATTAACAGAGTTAATATTAAGAAACAAAATAAAATTAGAACATATTAGGATGGAAATAAAAATATTGATCTTGTCTTCCCCATCTTGAGGAACTTTGCGTTTGGTTTGTTGTTTTTTTTTTTTTTTTTTTTTTTGTAAATCAAATTTTTCCAGTGATATGACATTTAAAAACTTGACTATATTAGCTTCTGCATATTGTATTGGGTTCTACAGCAAAAAGTCAGGACTCCATTCTTTCACCACCTATTTTTCTGGTATATTTGCTTTAATGAAAATGAAAGCTATCACCACTATTGTGCCCACACACAATTGCTACTGATTACAAGCTCCCCGATTTAGCTTTGAATTTTAACACTGCACTAAAATGCGAGACTAATCCACATTTCCAAATGGGCATCCACAATAAAAAACATTTTATCATAAGAACAAAATCACAATAAGTTCTTGCTCCCATATAAAAAACACATCAGTTTTTTTAATCAAATCTGGAGGAGATTTGCAAAGGTCATTCCCCTGCAGCAACTTGTCAGAAATGCACTACTGAAACCAGAAATGGAGTCTCTTTAAACACGAATCAGCTCACCTAGTGGAAATTCTACAGATGCTGAAGTCTTCTATCCTTTTTTTAGCACTTGATAAAGACTCATCTCAGACTTCAGAGTTCATTTTGGAGACACTGCAAAAGCTTAGGTCTATATGTAGGATATCCTAGCAAACTCAGCATACCTCTACAGCATTTATTAAGCATACCATTAAGATTACTTACGTTTTGGAACTTCCTGAACGGCACAAACTGGACAATGTCTCTGACAGCTGGTTCTCCTGACGAGGACCTAAGAACTCCATTGTCACCATCAAGAAACTCCATAGCATCGAAGTCCGCTCCTCCAACACCAACAATGATAATGGACATGGGCAATTTCGAAGCATTAACTATGGCAGTTCGAGTTTGATCAAGGTCTGTTATCACACCATCCGTTATGATCAGAAGTATAAAGTATTGCTGTCAAATCAATAAACACTGTGTTATGACAAAGAAATAGAAAACATGTAGGCAAGTACACTTAGAAAAATGCATATAAAGACTACATATTGCTGTCACTTTGAGCATGTTCAATGCACTCACTGAATTTTATAATCAAACATCTAAGTTGTTGTCAGGCTTCATCTGTACAGTCTGAAGAAATTTATAAGGACAACATAATCTTTTAAAAGAAGTCATCTTTAAACATCCACCTGCCAAAAACCCAGTGGTATCACCCTTTCATTTCCTCTTTAGAATCCCCAGACAAGCCAACAGTTAACCTGTCGTCTTTGTCCTGGGACAGAATGCAGTTTATTGAGGTTTTGGACAGACAACACCTGTGGAAACTTGTATTTGTTTCCCTTCTGGTCTATCAAATGAAGTGCTTTATGAAATGGTACCCTTCACTTCATTCATTTTTGTGCTGAAAAACCACATGCCCATTTTCAAATTCCTTTAATCATGTTTTCTAGCTGCTTTATGAAGTTAATTACCAAGGCATCTGAGATCACCTTGCAGTACTTTGGTAATTTATTCAAGTACCACTTGAGTTGCTTCCACTATACTGCCAGGGCTTCTAAAAGTTGGCATCTTAGCTTCTGTTCTGAAGAATCTAGAAGTACAAAGTTCAGAAACTACCCAACACTTTCTTCTCTCACTTGGTTCATTTCAGACAACTACTGAGCAGCAAAGGTTCCAAAGGTACTCCCAGTATTTTTAGACATTGTCTTCTTCAGTACTTTGCTTCCTATCTTCCCTTATCTGCCTCCAAAATAATTGTTTTTCCCTTATCTCCTGTGTTCAAGTACCACTTTCTCTCATTGCTCCCCATCACTCCACTCCCCCACTCCAGAAAGAATGTCTACAAAGCAACCATGATCAGAGAAGGCTATGGCCAGCAGCATGATAGCACATCACATTGAATTTATTTCTCTCTTCTGATATATTCCCCCATACTGGAAAAAAAACAGCACCAAAATCAAAAGCCAACCCAAAATACCTACAATATGCATTAAATGGCAAGGCAGCAAAATTTTTTCAATACATTCTTTCACACAGGAAAAATATATCTCTCGCAAAGTATCTTGCACTCTCAGAAAAAAAAAAAAAGTACAACAGTTTTTGCTACTTTCCTAATATATATATATTGATGACAGTTACCACTGAAAGACCACCAAGGCAAAACCTTATAAACCTCTTGGAAAAGAGCTATGGATTTTTATATATCAAATTGGTTTCCACTGGTACTTTTATATGCAAAAATAGCTAATTTTACATGACGTCTGAGATATCAATATTTGCTATCATCAATGATTTAGGATATATATGGCTTCAGATGTGCTGAACTTGCATGGATTATTATCCCAATGACGTGAAACTCAAGACTTGAAAATTAGACTTCCTATTTCCTAATATGGTCAACTATTCACACATACAATTTTAATAGCTAAGATGAACAGCATATACAGCACCTAAAGCTCAATAGTACAGACAGCTAATTATCTATGTTGGTACCTGTGTGTCAGGAGCTATTTCTTATTTACCATACTTAATTCTCTCTCTCAGCTACCTGATGTGAAACAAGGGCTAGTTGATTTTTCTCAGCTGAGGTTAAATCACTCTCCTATATGCAAATGCTTAAATTAGATTTAACACCTGTATAGCACTTCAAGAGCTTTGAACAGAAGATCCCATAAAGATGCTATGTATTTTTAAGCTGTTATTTCAAATCTGGAGTTTCTTTTATTTAGGAGAGAATTGTTGTGTACAGTCTGCAAAAATCAGTTAGCTTTTATCTCTTTTTATCAGTACCAAACACCAATTCACAAGGCAAATGGCCACCTGTCAAAACAAGTACACATCCAAGCTTAAAAAACAAATATTTATAAACTAGAAGGGAAAGAAAAAAAAATATGAAAAAATACACTATCATGAAGAACTTACAGATGCTGTTTGCTGCTGTGTAGCTGCAGCAGCAAATCTTGCCACATGATTTATAATTGGAGAAAAATTTGTTGGTCCATATAATTTCACTTGAGGGAGACAAGCCCGATATGCATCAACAATGCCTTGGATTCCTAGAGAACACAGAGATCATATTAAATTTCTCCTATTAGAATTATGATGTCTTGAAGCACTTGATCTTCCTAAGACACTGGGTATATCAGTTATTTAAAGTGATGATTCAAAGATTTAAAACCAACCATGATGAAAAAAGTGATTCATGAGCAATGGAGGCCTTCAGCTTGACCAATGCTTAACATGCTTGGCTTTATGTGAATAGAAAGGCCAAATACTGTACACTCAAGTGCACATAACTGAATTACAGCAGTTCTCTTCACCGGGCAGCTTGTGGTAGCTAGTGGTGTGAGCGGAGAGGTCACACTGACCAGGCACCAGCAGCATCATACTCAAAGCAGATAACCCCACACCAGCTGTGAAGTAGAATGACGTGGCTTGACAACATGAGGTAACGATTCCCAGCTGACCTGTACTGTGCCCTAGCTGTTTAAAACACTTCTTTCACAAATCATTACAGAACAGAAACCAAATGCTATTTCTGAGAAAACAGTTATAAAATTGTTTTCTGCTACACAACTAAATTCATTATTTACTCAGAACAACATCCTTCACAATTCACTTTTCAAGTGTTTTTATCCCTTCACCTCAAGACATTTTATTTGCTAGGTCTGATGTTACTTTCTCAGACTTACCATTACAGAATGGGTTTGATGGGTTAAAATTTAATGGAAACTCATGTGACACCTGTCAACACACAAAAGACACAGTCAGGACTGTATCTCCTCCCCAAGTGTTTTTAGTTGTCTTATGTAGTGCATTTACATATTCAATTACCTGAAAGGAAGGAGGAATTTGTGCACCAAATCCAAAGGCAGGAAACATCTTATCTCTAAAAAGCAATTTTAAAGAAAATTAAGTGAGTGCCTTCCTTTAACAGTTGTCACAGTTGAGTAAGTTTAGCTAATCAGTGCTGCATTTGATCATTAAAAGTGCTGTTTATTAAGCATTAAGACACAGAATTAAATGGAAGTTCTCCCCTGTAATTGTCTCCAGGACAAAAAACAGTCTTTAACACCAAATTGGCAAGAATGTAAACATTTATTTAAATTAACGCTGCTCTTTACATCACAGATGAAAAGCCTTGCTTGTCGGCTGTAAACACAAGCTTCTGCTTGTGATTATGCAATTGTGCACTCATTATGAAATCTTTTTTTGCTCTACGTTTCAGCTCACAAGTTTCATTTTGATATATCTGCTGGCATCTTCAACACTGGTTGAAGAAACTACCACAAAAATCTATGTATCTAAAAAATTATTTAAATAAAAATCTAAAACTTACGTATCATAATCCTGAATGACCATTCCTACAGACCAAATGGCTGTTAAATATTCATTAACTCCGTTAGGGCTGAGGTAATGCAGAGAGTCAGGAGAGCGAGGGTCTCCATTAGAGCCTGTAAAATCTATCCCCACCTGTCAAAAGGCAGTATTTATATCAAATTGCTGTTAGAGGTAAAATTATGTTTCTTATCTCTAGCAAAGCCAAAGTGAAAATTATGGAAGAGTTATAAACAGTAGTTACCAGGACATCTAACAGGAACAATACTTTAATGTAGGTTTCTTGGAATATTAACACTTTTAAAACAATGACACTACAAAACTAGCAGCAGCTCTGCATCTCTCAGAAGGGCTGAAATGACTTTCATCTGTCATGTTTTCACTGTTTACTTTCAGTTACCATTCACAGCAGCTCTTCAATAGCTGTTAAATTAATTTTATCTATGTATCTAAAAAATTATTTAAATAAAAATCTAAAACTTACGTATCATAATCCTGAATGACCATTCCTACAGACCAAATGGCTGTTATGTTGCCATTACACATCTTTCTTCTCAGAAGTACAACTAGCCAGACACCACAAACGCCCAGAGACAGCTCTTTCTCTGACCTCAATGGATCTTCTCTGCTTTGCTGATGAGGCACGTTACCATGGTGAAGACATCTTACTGTTATTTGTACTGCATTTCATTCATGAATTACTTAAGGGTCCTAACTCAAATGATGGCTTCTGCATGTTGCTTGCACTAAAGGGCCCTGAAAACCACCATCTAGGGCAAAAGTGAAATCTTAAAGGAAACTTGAAGTAAATCAGAGGAATATAAATTTCAAATTGGTCTCCATCCACACAGCTCAGCCAGTTCCTAACAAACCTAACTACAGGTTCAGAACTTTGTGCTACGAGTAAAGAAAATAGTTTTTTCCAAACATACTAGACAGACTGACAAAATAGCTTCCCCCCTCCATGCTACAGAGCAACAACAAAAAAATTACAATAATCAAATGAACAGCACAGGCAATCAATTATATACTTCAGTTTCTTCCAATACTCAAAAGCTACTCTATATAAATGATTTAACTTACTGTGAAATTCAGCTGACAACCACCCATGATGTAATCAAGGAATGTGCATTCTACTATGATCTAAAAAATAAAAGTTAAAGATAGAAATTAACTTTTTTTTTTTTTTTTTTTTTTTTAAATGGGAGAAAACCAGTAAGTATTTCTGCATCAACTTTTGAGGTTCCAGTTTTGTTATCTTGACCCATGGAAAGCACTACCTTTATAGACATCCCACCCACCCACTGCAGTGAGGATCTTCACAGCATGTGCCATCACACACACAATGCAGCAGAATCAGGCCTTTTACAAAGTTACAGGCAGACAACAAAGCAGCTCCAAAAGGACTATCATTGATAAAACAATGTATCATGACAGACTTACCAGATTAATTCATGTTAAAACAGTGAGCTGGGAAATGCAGTGGTTCAAGAATGGCCCTACAAACTGGTAAGCAACCTTTGCCATACAGATGGCATCTTCAAGAGAAAGAGGGGACAGACATGTGATTCATGTCAATCTGTCTCGCTATATAAATCAAAGCCCTTAAATACTTCCTGTGTCTGGAACTTTCGGACATTTTAAAGTTTCTTACAGTTTGAGGGTGAAGTCATACTAGATGAGTTATACCTGCACACATAAAAACAGTCACACCAGGATGTATTACTAACCTCACAGTGCTTAACACTCACAACGCCAGAGTTTTTATAGCTTTTTTTCTTCTGTCTTTTCTTTTCATTGATGCACTCAAATTCAACCTGCAAACAAATCCAACAAAAGCACTATAAATATAATTTATGCAAAAAATTTAAAAATTCTATATTCTAGGACTGATACTTTGGGATTGTATTTAAATGCAGTCTACTTCACTATCAAGCAAAATTAAACCCAGCCTTCCCAGAATCAGCAAGAAAAACCCCATTATCAAGTCAGAAATGTTCTCTTACCCAAAAGCTTACAAATGTTTTTTTTAAGTAATTGTATTTAAACCACACAAAGAAACTCTGTACCATTTTCTCTCTGAGGATTCTGCTAACAACTTTCTTTTTGGTAAAGACATGGTGACTCAGGCAAAGTATTGCTGTTTCCAACAGCTGTGGCAGTAATGTATGAAATAAGAGGTAAGTGTTTAAGCTTTCCAAAAATCAATTGCTGAGGCTTCATCAACTAAACCATTACCTTAACCTCCAAGTGCAATCAACAGCCATGCAGGTTAAGCAGCTCCTGCCATCATACGCTCATGCTGGCACAATGCAGCGTGTCTGGTGCATAAATGGTCTGAGGAGGTATTCCATACATGCCTTCTGGCTTGGTGCCAGAAACAGGTTCTGCTGGTTTGGTTTAAGCTCATTAAGTTTTAAAAAATGATCTTGCAATTAATCTCAAGCCAAAAAAAAAAAAAAATAAAAAAAAAAAATCACTAACAAGGGCAGCACCTGAGAAGTCTACATGCCTGTTGCTCATTTTCTTTTTTTGGACATTGCACCACCAGCATCACTTCTATTTGATGGAAATTGTCTTTCAGGGACTCGTTTTTGTGCTATGTCAACTGGTGAGTTGCTCACTAGTAACTGCCACAAGATACACAGCATTTATAGCCTTTCAACTACATTTTATAATACTCCAACCAGAGGGCACTAACAGCATACTTAGCGGGGAGGATACACCTTAAGGGAATGGGGGGGGATGAGGGATAAAATCAGCAATTCTCCAGAGAATGAAAAGCCACCTGTTCCCTTCATACAAGAACAACTTTTTCAGCAACTGAGGATAACAGTCACACCCATGCCCTCCTCCTGTAAACTTGAAAGAGGTTGTCAAATCTCCCACAGGCACAGCTGATGCCATAATTGTGGGAGTCACTAAAGATCACACTTGCAGTTTATAAAGTCAAATTCTAATGTGCACTAGAAATATTTTACACATGCTATCAAATTAATCAGATCACACAGAATTAGACATTAGTTTCTTTTAAAAGAAGAATAAGCCTGAAGCAGATTACTTGTGCTGTCTCTTATCTTTGCTTCATCTTACTAACACAGCAGTAAGTTACTTAGAGTAGGTATAGCCACAGTTCTCATTAAAACAATTTTCTTAAAACATTTCCAAAACCAGCACAGGCAGATTATAACTTAAAATACTTTTTCTTTAAATTCAAAAGAGACCGCACCTATTACGCTCCTAGAGGCACAATGAAAATAGATATTTGTATCCTCAAGAAGCCTTTACACAACATGCTTCACACTACACTGGAACTCACTATCACAGTTCTTACAAAAAAAAAAAGTGCTTGAAAATGTGAACATACAAACCTGCTAGGTATGTTTAATTTACAATACTGCTCTATAACAAAAATGCAACTATTTCAGAAAAAAAGAGAAGAAAAATATCTTGTTAAAAGATTTGTAAAATTTTCATTAAAAAAAGCAGAAAAAAAATATTTTATTAAACCCTCCTGCTCCCTGTTTTATTTTTTGCAAAATTTTAGTACAATAATAAGAAGTATCACTCAGCATTGAAAGCTAAACTGGTATCGTCTGGCCCCTGAAAATCTAGAAAAAAGGAGAAAAAAACACCAAAGAGCTCCAACTAGACAGCATATGAATTGCATGTGTAGGATATGAGTCCAAAATTCCTTACAAACAATATAAAACCTTAAAAGGCATTAAACTGAACCATGCCTAGTTCAAAACAAATTCAGAAAAAGGTTGCTAGAAGAAAAGCATGGCAGGGCACAAAGCAAGAGTCAAAAAACCACTACAGTCAAGGCTGACTTCCACATTCATCAACTCTGAAGAATTTAGTACAAATGCAACACTCAAAACATTAGAAAAGTACAAGCAGCCACTCTGGTACATACATCCCATTATTAATAGTGCTGGAGCAGTTCTGCAGGTTTTACAGAATTAAAGGAAAAGATTTAAAAATATTTTGATAGCATACATGTCCATAAAACAAAGACTTTTATGTTAAAGCTGCTATGCTACCTTTCTTATTAATGTAAAACCTGTCTATTAAAAGGTTTGCAAATTCTTACAGTTCATAAGAACAGGAAGGGTAATTTGACTTTAAAGAGCCACCTAACATAACACATTCAGTTGCATTTTGTGCGGTGGCATAAATGTTGAATTTTTTCTTATTCACTGAAGTATGTATGACAGTTGATGAGGGCCATACTTGAAATAAAGGTCTGAGTAAAACCTGAAAAAATACTATATGCTTTGGCCTTTTAACTGAAGTGGAATTTGTACTGCATTCTATCATTTGACGCTCTAAATTTTTTGATTTCTGTATTTTTTATGATCAGTGAAATTCATTTGTGCTGACAGCTGGGTATTTAGATATATAATATTAAAAACTGTAACCGAGATATTAATCCTAGGAAAGTGGATGCATAATGTAAATGCTGAGTCAGCCTCAACTACAGTAGCATTGTTAAGGTGTAGCCTAATACAACTTTGATACCTGCAGGTCAGGTGATGCAAGTTTTGTTCCAAAAATGAGTAAAACAGCTTTTCAAAAACACACACAGGCAGCTTAGACTATGTAAAACTTACAGGCGAGGACCGAGACGCTTCCTTCAGTTTTGACATCGTAGTTTGAAAACTTCCTATGAGATCATGAGACCCATCACTATCATAGTCATAGCACTCAACCTAAAACGAAGGATTATTCACTGTTAGTAGCAGAAATGGCACTTCAAAAGCAATGAACACTGAAACAGCATTTCTAGTTCAGGCAGACCTGAACATCCAAAACGTTCCTGAAGCGCTTGTATCATGGAGTTTTTCTCGCATTGCAGTCTTAGAATCGCATAAAGTTGCATCTAAAAATTATGGATATAGATTGGGTAAAAGACAATATACCCAGTTTCAGATCAGATCTTCCACTGAAGTGAAGGAGAGACGAGAATGCTAAGCAGCGTAAGGTCTCACACAAGCGAGTAACATCAATTATATCAAACTACGTTTTGGGAGTGAAGGGGTGTCAGGAAGAGTAGGAAAACAAGGTAGGCTTTTTTTATTGTCATCGTGGATTAAGAGAATTAGTTTTTCAGAGGTATTAAGGAAATTTAACTATCTCTGAGCATCCAGCCAAAAATTTAGTAAATCAGTTATTTAAGCAATCACGGTATTTTTATGAATACTTTTGTATCACTTTATTAATCTTCACGGTAACTCAGAATTTATAAGTATATGAAGGTTCAGGCCTAAATCTAAAAGCAAGACTGGAATTTTTTTAAGATTATCAAATTCACACAGTCACTATGACCCACACTTCATGGATCTGAACATCAACTAAAATTTCTTCTTTTTCTGTATTTGATGTTTAATGTTAAATTTTACTATTCAATCAATTCATCTTTTAACACTCCAACCCATCAAAGGCAGCAGAACAAGTGAAAAATACTTTTTTTCCTCTTTGAGAACCTACCAGTTTGAGTGAGCATAACTTTACCACTGTTACTTTAACCTTACAGTGTCCTCAATTTTTGTTTTTTTTTTAAAAGCTCAACTTATGAATGTGACCAACTGCCTTTCTGGATAAAAAGCTGGGTATTTACCTATAATAGCATATGCTAATTCCATTCACTTCTGATATTTTATTTCAGCAACACAGACATGCAAGCTAACTTAATCAAGTCACAGAAAAACAAATTAAAATACTTTAAAATAATAATGATAAGTAATAGCAATAATAAATCAAGAATCAAAGTAGGAATCCCCCATTATTTGAAACAGAAACATAAACTTCAAGAAAAACTTTTCTGAATATATATGGCTTAAACTGAACAGCTATTTTCATGTCCATCTTTCCAGACTGAAAAATCATTCCTTGACTATAACATAAGATTTAGTTCATTGCTTGGCCACTTCATTTAGGGACAACAAAGTAAACAACTTCAACATACACTTGAGCTTCTTCCAGAGGAATTAACTTTCTGAAAATAAACAGTAATGTTGAAGTACAAAATATGACATGTAGATTGCAAGTTCTACACTCTGCAGAACATGTCTTTATGTTGCAGTTTGCACATTTTCAATGCACTAATAAACACATGCACATGCACTGATAACAACCTAAATCTCATACAAGCAGCCACAGAATCAACAGACTAATGTTCATGGCAGATGCTAAGTAAATTCTTTTGAATGCTATAAATTAAGCCAATCAAATACTCAGCCAACTGCCTCGGTACCTGAAATTTAAAACTGAAGATATTTCCTGAGCCAACAGTTATGATACCTGTTCACAGTTAGCACAGTTACTTCTTTTTCTTTTTAAAGGGATCAAAGTTTGTCTTGCTTGATATATTTGACCCATTTAAGACAACTTTCAAAACTCACTCCAAACAAGACAGAAATATTTCATTTGTTCCATGTATGCCCCTCCTGGACATGCAATAGCGCCAGGGAACCACGTGATAAAATGGCAGTTTTATTTTCCCCAGCAGAGCTAGGCATGCTTGCTCCAGATGAAAGGCTCACATTTTCAACACAGAGAAAACATTGACTGCAAACACACTCACATGGAATATAGCAATAAATCCAGAAGATAAAGAATCAACTTGGTTTGTGCATTGATGGATACACAAACTAAGCCATTAAATAGGTGAAAAGCCACTCATTATGGAAAAGTTGGTGATTTTACTTACTATGACAAACAGCCCAATACGTATGCAACTGTGCGCATATAAAAGTGTTAGAAGTATTGTTTAATCCTTCAACAACATTATAATACAATTCTGTCTGCATTGTAATGTTTGAAATGATAGCTACCAGATTTTTAAGTTAACATATAACCCTATTTATGTTCCAAAGGACAGACTTCATTAAAATGCTGATAGAGCTGAGAAGAACTCCATCTCAACAGACATACTTTAATCAACACTCTATAGTTTTAGTATGGCTGTTTACTGAAAAAGAGAAATATATTTATAGTATATGGAGATGTGAGAGCTGTCACAGCTATTTTGTGAAAAAGGGAAGCAAAAAGGAATGAGAAGGAAGAACCACAGAAGCAGTAATGGAAGCAGGTTCTGGGCTTGTAAAGTTGCTCACTAGTCTGCTCTATAATTATGTATTTAAATCTGTACAGGTGCTTGTAACACCCACATCCCTGTAGGTGTTAAGCACTTTCCAGGACTGCCTCAAGTCATCTGACTAGTAAGTGTCACATGCAGATCATGCTCTCATTTTTCCTTCCCAGAGGAAGAATGGCAAATATAAAGGTTTGTTTCATTTGTCTGGGTTTTTTTCAAATGCTAAAATATCAGGTTCCTAACATGTTCATAATAGTTTATAAATGGCATTTTGATTGGTTGCTTAGCTTCAGTTCTGCCCCTAAAGGGAATTCCTGAAGAAAAATATTCAGAAGTTAAACATAATTTATTCAAGACAAAATTTGAAGACAGAAATAGTTAAAAGACCGGTCTTAGTAGAACTATCACTTCACGTGTTTGGTTGACTTTGACAGAAAGTTGTTTTACTTGAAGAAAAAAGTTGATAGGAGATACATCTGGTCGATATCTATTACCTCAGCTAGTATATTAAGTGTAATTAATTGTATCAGGTAGTACATTAAGAATTTCATTAGTGTTACCTGTTGCACCAGTAACAAAGCATTAGAAGATCCATAACATAGAACAAAGCACATTCTAGCCTTTACTACTCATCTTTTATTATACAGTATTTTAACACCACCAATACTGGCTGATGCAACACTAAAACTGTACGATCCAAATAAGAAGCTGAATTGGACATTTCAAAGCTACTTATGTTCAACTAGTTTCCCAGACTTTCAAAGATGAACTTTTACCTGATAACACTTCACAAATGTGAGATTTATTTTTTTTCCTAAAACACGCACATTTCTATGACTTTCAAATAAGAAACCTAATACTTTCACTTCAATTTGGAACAAAAAGAGTCAGTAACTAGAATAACACATCTTCCACTTACCACATATTCTAATATTTTTAATGCATTAATTCATACAGACATTTCACGTACATTACCTTGATTGACTTATCCATATCACTGTAACACAGAGAATTGAGAGATATTTTAAAGGGCCTCCAAACAGGATTCAGGTTGTTTTTAATAACCTGTTAAAAAAAAGGGTCAGAATTGTATTGTTCATAAGAATGGAAAGTAGTCATCATAATGGGTCATACCTTCCTGCCATGATTTCTGTAAGCAAAACCAGTTAACTGCTGCTGTCAATCACTTCCTGCAACCCAAATCCTAACATATAGAATATAAACAAACTTAAACATTCTTAACATGCAATACCATTGTCCAAAAAAGATGGTATCTTTCAACTCCATATTTTTCTAGACTACACTGCGATCTACTATATCATTCAGCTATTACACTGAAAAAAATTAAATTGATCTTTACATAAATATTGAAATTGTGTGGTTTTTTAATAAGCATACACATATATATACATACACACAAATATATATAAAAGCATAACTTTCAAAAAAAAATGTGGAAAAAGATTATATTGGAATTTCTGAATGTATCAATGCTCTGAAGATTACAATTCATTCCAGCTTGTATTTATTGTGGAATGCTACTTATGGAAATATTCCCTCAAGAAATTCATAGTATAGTTAAACAGTAACAGTACATGAGAACAAAAGGTCTCACGATGAATGTTAAACAAGTGATATTTAAGAATAATACTGAATGATCTTCAGAACTTGTAAAGTATCTGTAATATACCCAATATGCCAAATAATAATCTTATAAAGCACAAGAAACTACATACAACAAACAATATTTAATTAATAATACCTAGCAAGAATAATACTTCCAGCACTGTAGGACTGCAAAGAAAGTAACCTCTCTTTTGAAAATGAAAACAGTAAATAGCAATTAGTAATATGAAAAGGTTTTTAAAATCTGTAACATAAAGAACTAATCCTCCAGCCAGTTCTAGGCTGGAGCAGCAAATTCTAGATTCATTACCTAAATTGAAGATGACAGAAATCCTCATGGAAAAGATACATTTTATACAGAACCACCACCTCATGAGAGAAACTATTTTTACAAATCTGACACAAGAAGGATTTATACTTCAACATCCATGCTTCAAAATTAAAATGGTCACCACTTCCAATGCGTGGAGTACCTCATTATCGACTAGGGCCTGAGCTTCCACTACAGTGAGACCTTTTGAACCTACTCCTACCCTGCCAGTTGCTGCCACAGGACCTCTGCACCTCCCTCTGGCCTGCTGCTGCTCAAGCACATTTTCCCTCACTACTATCCTTGGCTTGCCCTTGCTATAATTACTGTCATTATTAGAGCCAGGCGACACTGACAGAAGAACAGCAGTCACAGGAACACCCGAATTTCACCCTCAGAGTAGCACACAGACCGATGTCCCTGCATGAGTATGCAGTACCTTTTCAAAACTTTTGTTTTCTTCTAGATTGCAGAAAGAGTTCGTTAGGGTGTGGGGTTTTTTTCAAGTGCATTTTCCTTTAAAATAGGAAGGCATAAAACACAGAGTAAGGCAGTTTTCCCATTCTATCAGAAAGTCAGTGGAAGAGCTGGGGCGATTCCTAACTGGGCTGCATGTCAACTACCAGACCATTCTCTCCTTTTTGTATGGCACTGTACCTCTAGTGCTGTGACACACTGGAAATCAAATAACCTTAATCTCTAGATTGTTGACTGAAAATATCCTACCTCTGTTCTGTGAACCATCACCCAGTTTCCATCTCCAGTCTGTTTGTGGAATTCCAGATAAGGATCTGACTTTCCAAAAAAATCCTGTATTTAAAGAACATGGAATTATCCCAAAACAGCCTGTGGCATGAATGCCATTAAATGCTAGTTAAAACACACTTAGATTAACAAAAAGTAAACTAAATATTCAGGGAACAAAAGCTTTAAATGAAGAAATGCAAGTCTGATTATATTACCACCTGTGAAAGAGAGAAAGAAAACAGGGCATGTCCATCAATTTAGGATAAAAGTTCTGTAGTGTTCACATACTAAATACCTGGCAGTTCAAGCAAAAGAATACTTGTAAGTACTACAAGGGAGAGTTAGGAAACTAAGGATTTCACCCAGTTCAAAAAAAGTATCATTAAACTGACTAGGAAAAATAACAACATTTTTGCTGTTGTCATTTTTTTTGTTTTGTTTTTAAAAGTCTTTCTAGATATGGTAATTTTAGCCAGCACCAAAATATTTCACTTAACAGATTTGTACACTCCCAAGTACACTCTTTACCATTTATTGCAGAGAGTTAAAAAGTAATCATTTATACAGCTATTCAAAGCAATAGATATACCAAAACTCACTTATATTTATTATTAAATGTGAAGATATACATTTAAATGGAAGCTTGCTGTTCAGGGCCAACCCCTGCAATTCACTTGTCTTATTTGGAAATATATTATAATTAATTTCAAAATAGTCAATTAAGTAACTCTGAAGCAATCTTTCCTCAATTTCTTTTTTAATGTAAGAAAAATCTTAATGGACTTAATTATTTCAGCAAAAAATAAGAATTAACATTTTAATGTTTCCTAACAAGATTCTGATTTTACTACTTTATCAAAGAAACAGCAATCACTTAAATACCTTATTGTCCAGTTTCCTTGCTTCTACTTCCAATACGACCACCCTGTTATCCTTCACTTCTTCTGCTGTAATCTAGATATGCAAACAAAAGAAAATACGTATTTTGTATTCAGGAACTACATAGTTTTCTCATATTCACAACACTCCTATGACAGGTCCATTAAAACAAATCATGTTTGCTCACAAATGAAGCATTAAAAAAACGGAGTGGCGAGAGGGATGAACAATTTGTTTTGACATTGCAATTCACTAGATTATAACACTGACAGTTAAAGATACTGCCCAAACAATAACACATCGGATGCTCTAATTATTCTGATGGATTCAGGGAGACTTACGGATGCAGAAGGTGGGCTGCTCTCCATGGGATGACAAGGGAAATATTAATGGGGGAAAAAAAAAATGCTTTAAGATACTTTTTACAGCACTGTAGATTAGACGCACTGTGTTCAAGCCACTAACTAAAAAAAATCCTACAAAATTTAAGGATAAATGCTGAAGAGATTAATTGTCTTAACTGTCTTACCGTAATACTTCCTCTTCCAGCAGGTCTGCCATTTTTAAGTATTAATGGTTTTGTTACAGTCTTGCTAGAAACTATCTGCCAAGACAAAAATTTGAGTATCAAGTATTATTAACGCAATTTAATAGATTTTCAAAGATAGTGAGCTATTTTCATTTTAATTTTAGGAACTTTTCCATTATCATGAAGATGACAGCATTACATTTGCTTCCCATGATCTCCTACAAATAAATAGGTAATACTTGATATACTTCCAAATTTTAAAATACATTATGCAGATGAATACATGTAGAGTTTCAAGAACAATATGAAATAAAATGTCTTCTAGTATCATGATACACATACATGTACAAAGATAATACCTTAAGTTCCAATCTCAAATTGTTCTTAAGTTTTTCATACCTATCGTTCACACACAGGCAAGCCATGTTTCATGAATGGCTTCTGCAAACAGATTTATAAACACAATGTCTGTCAGGCAAACAAACATCAGTCTCCCCCTGCAGTGTTTCTACTTGATTTTATTTTATCCTCCTCAAGCAATGACTTTGAGAAAGTGTACCTAACTCATTTTATAGGTCCTTCTTTACAACTGTTACTGAATTTCACTTTAAAATGCCTCCATCTTGATAACCCACTTAAAATAAAAATATATCACACACAGGGGAAGAAAAATCCCAAGAAGACTCTCCTAATAAGAAGTGCCTTTGAAAGATCTATTAGAAAGAACAAGTTAAAAAGAAGCTGCATGATTTTGATAGCACCAATAGCAGAATTTCACAGGCAAATGGGAGTGAAATCAACACTAGGCAGAACCAGAATCACTGCTTGCCTCGAGTGGAAAGGAAATTACAAGGTTAACGTGGCCCTTGTCAGCACTCTTATGTTGCTATACACCTATTCTCTTTTTATGAAGCATAAAAATAAGAATTTGTTTATCGAAGTAAATAAATAGGAATTACTACTTTGTGCTCATGACTTACTGTCAGACAGCAATCCGGACAGTCACCATCCTACAGTATATTTCAGGGCATCATCCTAAGTTGTTTTGCAAATAAAATGTATACACACTGAACCGAGGCTTGAAAAAGCAAATGAAGGAAATCTCACTCAAACAGTACCCCAATTACACAAGAACATAATGATAAAAAGTAGTTAATGAGTTGCAGTAATTTATATTTTCTTAATTCTAAGGGAAATCATCTGCATACTTACTTGTCCCAATGTACATTCAAATTCTCCTAAGAAGTCATCATCACTCAGATCAAAGGTTTTGTTATCAATGTCATATATTCCAAATTTAAGTTTCTGAACAAGCTCAAAATAGTAATCAATTAGGAATTTCTTGGCAAACTTTGGGCTCAAAGAATTCTTAACTCTTTCTGTGCGATCAACCTGTAGTTAGAAAGAGATCACTTTATCCAGCATTTCACCAACTAAGCAAGCACTCAAATCAATTAACATATTATCAAAGACTTTCAAAACTTCTTCTTACTGTATAGTATAAAGTCGTATCTTCCTACAAACCTTTTATCAATCATAAGTAACCAAATTATATTACAAAACCCACTGCTTTGAATCAGAGATATCCGAAGATCTGTTTTAATTTGCTCCCTGTAAGGAGTATCTATTCCTGCATAGGGAAGACCAACAGAAAAATGGTATATTGTCAAATCCAGGATGAGATCGTAGTTTTGGAGTACTGTATTTATAAAAGCACATTTAAGCACTTAGAATGCTACTTCTGTTGGTCCACACGACTGGGGGAACAGTGCTAAAAATCAGACAGGTTTAAGTATTTATTAGGCAACAATTACTGTGCTGACTGTATAACTATTATAGGCATAATCTAATGAAAAATATTCAGAGGTGCTGGTATATTATTAAAATATTTTCATGAAATCATACGTTTCAGACTTTTAAAAGGTCCAACAAGTTAGACTGTGTTTTCAGCAGACTCATGAGAAGCACCACACTGTACCTCATACCACTGCTGACCACTCGTGTTCTGGAGAAGCACACACAGCGGGTCGGACTTGGAACCAATATCTTTATCCAAGAGATTGGTGCAGGCAATAGTCAGCTCCACCTTTGTCACGCACTGTGCCGCCATTTGTTAAGCTAGAAAGGAGCAATAGAAATCATTTTTAAAATGGACTAAAAAGCAAACAATAGGACTGTCACAATGCATTAATTCTCTAACTGATCATTAGAATTGTTAGCTTGTCAGGGGTGAGCTCTGAGGCTCCAAATGCAAATTTTAAGATTTACGGTGTAGCAACATTGCAGTATTACTGTCATACTCTTGGCTTTGCCACATAGGCATAAATCTTCATTTCAAAATCTGCACATAAGAAACAAGATCAGGTTTCTTAGAATGCCCAAGTAACCAAATGGAAAACAGGATACACCACGAAGAAAGCACAGTGGATTGAACTGGTGACAATAAAACTTGCAAGCTTTAAATTACATCCTGTAAAGCCCACACGAATGCCAGTATCTTATAATGTAGATATTAATAATAATCCAATGAATAAGGAAAAAAAATTATATGATATAGCCACATACCATACCTTTGTAACAAAATGCTGAAGCCATGAACACGGCAGAATTGGAAAAGGAGTTCAAGGGGGTAACAGGAATAGGTGATCTTGCTATAGTAAATCTTAAAAACCAACTGCCATTTTTAATAATAGGGATAAACAGCTCTGAAGTCAAGTAACAATAAAGAATTAGGAGGAAGTGTTCATTCTGGAAGTCTGTTTAAAAAAAAGAACTGAAAACTTTCTCACATTTCCTTCTAAGTATCTCAGTCATCCTCCACTAGAACCAAGACGACCAGCAGGTATTACATACCTACAGAAACAACTTCATTATCAGTTATGAATCCCACACTGGGATAACGTCCATTTGCAAACCTCATTAGGTCTGGGCAGCAGATATTTTCTCTATATATAAAACCAAATCTCTATAATTATACCCTTCAGGAATACAGTTGATCATTTCCAACAGCTCTTTGGGAGACAAGCCTCTACCATACAATAGCCCTCGACTCAGTCTAAAACTTCCAAATCCTTCCACAAGCAGCCTATATTGGAAGTTCCCAAGCCTCTTTAGCTTCAGGTTCTCCTCTACATTAAGTCCACAGTCTAGACACAGTATCCCCCTGGATTAACTTATCTTGAAAGTGCATGAGACACTAAACAGAATAAGGAAGGAAAGGCATCTTGCATCTATCTAGCCAGCTCACTTGCATCATAAATACACAGTGTACTTGAACATCAGACCATACTTAACCCAACCTATCTCTTTCCTTTTCATTGCATTCATATGACTTTTGGTGAAAAGGAATTTTTTTAGAGGCAAAAAGGGAAATGAACACAGAAAAAAGGAGCAATGAACTGAAAACAGGAGAAAGAAAACACTGTGGTCTGAGGGTATTTTCCTGAGGCTTCTTGTATTTCACTAGGGCACACTTCACACTTTGCCTCTTCACCTCTGTTTTGCTATCTTAGAGATGGACCTTTTGGAGACTGAAATAAATATAAATGCTTTGTAAAGGAACCACTCAAACATCCCTGCACATAAATTATGTTTAAGAAGCATGTCAGATTCATGGAAATTCTCCTGCAACTCCCAAACACCTCAGCACGATTCCATCTTTGAGTATCATTTGTACCATGACTTTACTAAGTTTCAGTCATTGTCCTTGAGTGGAAAAAAAGTGAAGCTCTAAGTATTCAAACTGTTTTTAAACCAATGTTTTTTAGGCTTAGAAAGCACAGCTCTAAAAGCAGTCTGTTTCTTTTTTCCTGGTTCTCTTTTTATGCTGGGATTTTCCATTCCCTACTGCTTTCCTGGCTGCCAGACAGAGCTCATTAACAGTCAGTGGTTTTGACCACAGAATCCAGTGCAGACCAGTGCGTGCCTCCTTAATGGCTGTTTCCAGAAAAACAACTTTCTGTGGACAAAATGATGCTCTAATACCCACTGATGCTGCAACAGCGAGCAGAAATTTTTAATGAATTCAGAAAGTTTTCATGAATTTCAACAGAATTCAAACTTGAACTGAGACATATATCTCAAAACAGTCAAAATTTTCTTGCTCTAACTTCCCTGAAACTCCTTTTATTACAAGTCCCTGAAAGGACATGTAGCCACATTTCCTTTGTTAAAGTTACATTTCCAAAATCACTGGTAAACAGATAGTATCCAGAGAATCTAAAAATCTGGTCAGCTTTTTCTACTTAGCCTGTGTGTGTACATGTCCCACTTCTCCTACATCAGAAGTACTTTCTCACATTAGTATGTCAATTCTGTTACTTCTCCACGTGTCGCTGAATCTCCCACTATGCATCTAATGTGGGCAGAGAGCAGACTTATCAAGAGGTGCTGTGCAAAAACCGTATTTTAATACACGGAGAAAGAAAGAATAAAAAAGCTGCTTCCCTTCCCCAAAATGCAAATGCTCATGTTTAAGACTTAATAATTGCATCCATATTCAATAAAAGGCAACTTATAAGACCACCATGCATTTATTCAAGTGGAGGACACTCAACTTGAAACCCAGACACAGAAGCAAAACTTCACAAATCCTAAAACTGTCCTATAATCTCTTCCATTTCCAGTTTTGCACAATCCAAGACAAAAAGTAATGCAAGGCACTTTCCTCAGAGGTTTTCAGAATATTAGGAATTAATATTTGTATAATGGGTTGAAGAGGTCTGCAATACTTCTAACGCATTTCAAGAAATAATTTTGCCACTTTACTTGAAAAAAGACAACATGATTATCCATAATACCATAAGACTAATACATTACAGTAAATAGTTGTATACAACCCGTTTTTCAAAAACATAAACATTAAAAGTTAGTAAAATACCAGTGAGAAAAAAGTCATTTCTCATTAACCCAAAGCAGTATTTACAGTAGTGAAACTCAGTACATAAACAACAGATACTTCTCTTCCAACACTGTAGTCATTACAGAACTTGCAAAGGAGGCACAGATGTTTCACATGTGTGAACTCAGAAGTCTTTTGAACAGCAGTAGCTGTTGGAGCTCTGTGTACACTGCACGAATCCTCATAATCCCATACTACTCGAAAGGAAGAATGACTCCAGCTCCACCCAGTTCTCCTCATTTCTGAAAGCCCGTGTTAGCTGAAAACTTCCAAAACAGGTTTGGTGGTGGGTGGCAGGATTCCTAAAGATGATAAATATCCTCAAGGATCAGAGTCACTGTCAGGTAAGTAAGTATGCTCTTTTTGAAGACTTGATGGAATACAGAGTTTGGCAGATTGCAGTCTCTTCAGGATGGTGGAAATAAGAAATCATAGCTGCACTAGTGCATTACCTCTTGAAATACCATTCTACAACACACTATAAGATCTAATAGGCAAATCAGATGCAAAATATTCTAAATATGACTAGATTACTCTCACATTTGGGACACTGCAATAACTTTACATGGCCAGATGATATTGTTCAGGCTCTAGTAAGATAAGCCTTGACTGCCAGTAAATTACATCACATAACAAGAGGCTTATTTATTCAGTTACCATTATGAAAGTAACTATGCTCCATGTTAGCCAAATTAAAACCTACGCTTTTCTTGAGCTATCAACTGTCCTCCACATAGGGTACACCATAACGTGAGGTAAAGTACACCAGAATGGAGTCAGATGACAGCTCAATAGTCCTTTAATTGGAATGGCTTTTATGACTGCAGAAACCTATCAGGCTTTTAAGAACAACCACCAATAATTCTGAACAGAACACTGAAAATTACTGTATAGACTGTATGGCAGAACTTGCAACATCCAGACTTGGAACTGCAGTAATGTATGGTCACGAGGGAGATACTTGTTCCTGATCCTATGCCATGTCTAGGCTGTCTAAGAGACTAGGTCAGCTGAGTATATTACAAGTCCTTCTGCCTGAACTGTCATTACCAAAGAAAAACTCTAAGTCAAGGACTAGACTTGTCTTGCAGTTCCACCGATCATAACACTCTTTCAATTCCACTAATGATTCTACTGTAGACAAGTGGAGTCCACGAAATAACCCAGCCAATGTCTGCTTTTCAACAGAAGCTGTAAACATGGTGTCACGGTTTAAATCTGGCGAGCAGCTAAACACCACATAGCCTCTCACTCCCCTCTCCCCACCCCCCTAGGGAAGGGGGCAGAGTTGGAGAGGTAAGGGTAAAGAGACTCACATGTTGAGATAAAAACAATTTAATGATTGAAATTAAATAAAAATTGAAATAATCATGATAAAACATACAAACAAGTGATGCATGATGCAATTGCTCAGCAATCACCAACCAATGCCTAGACTGTTCACAGCTAGTGACCCCAGAGGAGTGAAAATCCCAAAACTGCAACCCTGGAAGAGTCAGATCTTACCAGCCAACCCTCACCTATATACTGAGCATGACATTAGCTGATGTGGAACATTTCATTGGCCAGTCTGGGTCTGTTGCTCTGGCCGTGCTCCCTCCCAGCTTCATGCACACCTGCACACTGGCAGGACACAGGGAGTTGAAAAGTCCTTTATTTCTTAGCAACAACTAAAAACAGCAGTGTATTATCAACATTCATCCCAGACCAGATCCTGTACTGAATACAAAGCACAGCACTATTCTAGCTAATAAGAAGGGAGATTAGCTCTGTCCCAGCCGAAACCAGGACACACAGCACACTACGTGGAAAGGAAGAGATCTAGTATCAGAACAGTCTAACAACAAAGCACTTGGGAACTCTCAGACTGCAGCAATCCTGTCAATGCTGCAGCACCAGAGGAGAGTACAGGCTTACCCAGATAACCGTCCAGAATTGTACAATGATACCTAATCTGACGAGCAGAAATACATAACTAGAAGAAGACAAAAAGACTAATGAAGTGAGAACTACTCTAGCTGGGTTTGGCATCGCTGCCTTTAGTCCTAAGTCTCAAACGTGTTCTGATGTAAGTTATTGCTGTCAGGGAACATTTCCTAGTTCCTGTGAACTACTAACAATAGACCAAAAATCTGTATTTTGTAATTACATCAGGGCCCAGATGGACACGGAAAAATCAGGGAAAACATTTCAGAACTTGCTGACAAAGTCTGTTCCTGATCAGCTTATCTTCTAGCTATAATGTTACACTTAAGCATTTTATGTAAACTGTGTGCCAAACTGAAAAACACATTACCACATACAAGCAGTCCTCTGATCCTTCTTGGATTATTAAGTATTTCCCAGAACCCAGGCAGATGACAACATGGAAATAAATTAATTATTCAGACAGACCATAAAAATAGAAGTCTTGAACCAAGCCTAAATCTAAAATAATGCATATGAAGCTTTACTGTCCTGAATGTTCAGTGTGTGCCATTGTTCAGTCTCTGCTCTTTCAGACAGGACTAAGATACCATTTCTTGGAAACAGAAATTTTTGTGGTAAAGATCTCAAGGTCTGTATTCCTTAGAACCTTTTCTATTGCACCTCAGATCAAGCAATAACAGCACTTCTTCCAACAGCCCTTCACAAGGAGGGTTCCGGTGAAGAGCGGGCACAAAAATGGCTGAAAGTTTAAAATGAAGGTAACCTTGGAGACAACATCCATCTGACGATGAACCCTGCTCAATCCATAATCTCAGCACAGTCCTCCAGCATTTCTTTGTAACAGTTGCATATGCAAAGAACGGAGAATGACAACAGTCTCAGAAGATGCCATGTCTGCTGCAGGACACCTCACAGGAGCTGACATTTCATACAAAGTTACAAATGCTAAGACTGTTTCATAATCTAATTTCATCACTGCATTTTAAAACCAGAGGCTTCTCTAAAGATCATACCTCCAAATCTGAATTCTGGCTCCTCTTTTTCTCTCCCTTTACAGGCAACACAGCTAACAAAATTGTCCCGTGGCACTAACTGATGTCCTGACAAGTTAATAACCGAAGCAGCTCAAAGTAATACATCTCAACTTGAATAGTTCTGTATTTAAAGAACGAGACAAAACCTCGAGTGTAAACTGCATCTTCTCACATTCGTTACTTAGCATGCATGAAGGAATAAGATCTAGTATTTAAGAACTCTGAGGCATGAGTGTGTAAGAAGGGAGACATTGTTTTATCTATGGGAAATGAGTAATTTATTTACCCAAGCTTCATCATACTCAGGCAGTTCAAATATTTATCTACTGGATTGGTAGCACACTGGTGTAACAAGTCAGGCAACTATTTGTAGAGAGTTCCTATATATAAAAATCTATCAGTAAGTTACATTGACAAAGAACATATTTAAAATTCTATTCTAAATTCTTTACAGACACTTCACAGACCTGAAACTATTAATTTGACTTCTAGACCAGCTAACAAGATTACTTTGAAACAGACATTTCTAAATATCCTTCTGCTGACCTTTTTATTCCTGAAAATGTGTGTCCACCCTTCAGGCACATCTTTAATGCTGAGTGTTCTTCCCAGCATCTGCCTCATACAAAAAGTATTTTAAGAATTTTGGATGATGCTTTGATCCAATTGAACTACATTATAAGCAGCAATATTGTGTCCTGAACAAGAAAATTAAGAAACACAGATCTCCTGACTTCAAAATTTAGTTGTTTTAAGCAGACAGCATTTAACTAGGGGAAAGTGTGTTTCCAGTGTATATATTTTATCAGAATATTCTTAAATCAATTACTTTACGGAAAATAATCTATCAACTATGCAATTTGAATAGTACTTAAATCATGTATTCCTCATTGCAATCTCTTTGTAGAGTCTCTGATCGGCTTTACATAACTAACATTATCCAGAAGAAAAACCTGTACGTTACTAAAACTCGATGCATTTTATTGCAGAAACAAGATGCAAGTGACCACACGTTTTAGACTAATCCTTCTTACAGTCCATTTCAAGTCTGGCATGTTGTGGCACTTCACTGTTACAAATACGAGTTCTTATAAATGAGTTTATTGTAAGTTACCTCAGAGGTCTGCCTCTAGGCTACTCAGCAGAAGCCTAAACTTCAATATTAGCATTAAAATGTGAACCAAGAACTGTTATTCCCATGTATCAAAGTAACAGGTTTGAATGCATATACTTTGAGGAACTACAGCTCCTATTAAAATACAAAACTGTTCAACAGTTTCACATGTCCGTGACAGCAGCATTGTTAAGATTATTTATGGGAATCTGAAAGCCTTTGTGTTGTGGTTTGGGCCTGATCAGCAACCAACCCCCGCAGCTGGTCACCCTCCCTTCCCCCTCCCCACCTGGGAATGGGGGAGGGGATTAGAGGGGTGAAGGGAGACTCGCAGGCTGAGATAAGAACAGTTTAATAATGGCAATAAAATGAAAACAATAACGATGATGGGGGAAAACAAAAAGAAATATATAAACAGGCGATGTACAGCGTAATTGCTCACCACCCGCTGACCAAACCCCAGCCCGTTCCCGGCCAGTGACCCCGAGATACCAAGATCCCACAATCGCAATCCCAGAAGCGAGAGAGAGAGAGCCCCTTCCCAACCACCCCTCGTCTATAGAGTGAGGATGACGTTCCATGATATGGAATATTTCACTGGCCAGTTAGGGTCAGGTGCTCTGTCCGTGCTCCCTCCCTGCTCCCTGTGCCCTGGCGCACGGGCAGGACATGGGGAGTCAGAGAGTCCTTGAAGTCTCGGTAGCAGCTGAAAACCTCAGTGTGCTATCAGCATTTTTCCCATACCAAACCCAAAGCTGAATCCAAAACACAGCACTCATCTAGTCCCTGAAAAGGAATATTAACTCTATTTCAGCCCAAACTAAGACGCTTTGTTAGAGAGCAAAGTAGAAAATAAGTTACGTATTTTAAAAGTCCAACAAGAGAAGCCCTTTAAGATTTTCAGAACGAAGATCAGATTACCTTTTTTGGCCTATTCACTTGATGCTTTTTTTTCCAGTAAGATCATAGTGCTTTAAAGTAAGTAGACCAAAATCAGTGGCTTGCAAGCTCCCAAAGGTGTTTATGCTTTAAGAAACCTACGCTGCTAAGAGTTGTCTAAGAAAAATCCATAAAAACACTATCCTACAATGGTCCAGCATAGCATTAACACTAACTTCAAAATGACAATCACAAAATTACAATTTACTATAGCCCAGATGTATTTCAAACCTTCCTCTAGGCAAACCAAGAGCTCTCCAGTCAGCTGTCCTTCAAACCTGTATCATAACAGCTACTTGCACTCTGCATTCACCATGCCTGGGAGGCATCACATGTGCTCTGCATTTACACAGGCAGTGGCTCTGAACACAGGCACACAGCAATCATGCTGCCTCCTCGAACCATCAGATTATTACACATGTGCTTATCACCCACCATGAGGACTTTGTAATAACCCTTCTGGATGTGAAGCACCAGAAGCAAACTGCCACCACCAGAACTAATCCTGCTGGCTCCTAACTGCGCCTTGGAAAAAGCACAGAGTATGTGCATCTGATCCAGCTACAGGATGGGAAGGCTCTATGGGCTAGTCTTCTTTCAACCATAGAAGAAAGTATGAAGCAAGTGATCCAAATCATTAAGACTATTACTTAAACAGAAGCTCGGATTCAGCAACCCAGCCCCAAAAATCCTACATTCAGAAATACTTCGAATGCTTAGTAATGCCATTTTTAAATCCCTGAGCACCAACGTCTCATCTAAAGCAACATTAAAGATAAACCAAAGAAATTAAACATAAACCCTGACTTTCACTGAAAAATACACAGAACTAATAAGGAAGGAAAAAATGTATCTTACTACTTAAACTTTTTCCTTAAATGTTTTTCCTAAAGGAAAACACAGAAGCATGATTCTAAATCAGAATAATGGAAAAAAAAAAAAAATAAGACTCCACAGCAGGTAATAATATTAACCTATCTGTGGAGTTCAGATTTTAGTTTTATTACCCCTAAAAGAAGGACCTCTGGTGTTGTTTGTACATAACAGCTACTATGGCTTCCCTCTAGCCTTAAATTCTGGAGAAACATTAATGCCTTGGGCATAACACAAGGATGGGAAAACACTGTGGTACAGCAGTTCTACCGTGGAATTCTGGCAGATGACATTTAATAACGGCCTAGTTACTGATTATAATATAACGTTGTAATATATAATAATAGCTTAGTTATTAACAACCCACTCTAACAGCAGCTCAAGAAGATTTTTTCTTTTTTCAGGAACGATGATGACTTTTGACAGTCTCCTTTCTCAAGGGTAGCATTACACGGGCACAGAGACCGGCACCCAGGGCTCCAACGCCCTGGGGTGCGCAGCTTTAACCTCACCGAGTTTCGCTACCTGAGGGACGGCGAACCAGACGGCAGATTCCTTCCTCGAGCTCCGCAGAGGTCTGTGTCCAGTCTCCCGCGGAGAGCTGCCTGTGTCTCGGAGGAGGAAGCGGACCAGCCACCTGAGGGGAGATTTCACAAGAGGAGACGGTTGGGACAACCGCCGCCTGCAGCCCCAGCCCTGCCCTGCCCTGCCCTGCCCTGGCTCCCAGCCCCACACCCGCACGTCGCAGCGCGGTACGAGGCGGCCGCCCCCGCCCACCGGAGGGACGAAGCGGCGGAGGGCCCGCTGGAAGGCACCGGCACCAGCCCCCGCTCCCCGGGCCGGAGGGCGAGGCAAACCCCGCCTCAAAGGGGCTGACGCGCTGCCGGGCGGGGTGACGGGACGGGACTGGCCCCTGAGGCACAGGCAAACGCCAGAGCCCCGCGGACAACAGCGCGGCGCGTAAGGCCGCAAGCCCCCGGCCGAGCCTCCCCCTCTCTCACCGGCCGCTGGCGGCAGCGCGGAAGCGGCGAGGCCCTGACGCCGCCGGTGGCCACGCCCACGCCAGCCCGGCGCGCCCCGCCGCGGGCGAGAGGCGCATGCGCAGACTTCCCCTCCCCCCGCCGCGCGCTGGGGGCTGAGGCGGGGTTCGGGTCCCTGGGGTGGCGCAATGGCCGGTGCCCGGAACGAGCGGTCGTTGCTTTTGTTTCCCCGCCTCGCTCGGGCAGGGCCGGCAGTCGGACCGGTTCCTCCGCTGGCGGCTGTCATGGCGGCGCTGGTACTGGCGCGGCCCCTCCGCCGCCGCTGCCCCGTCTGCCCGGGCAAGCTGCTCCGGCGGGAGGCGGGAGGGGCCACGCGCGGCCCGTGGGGGCCCGGCGGGAGCGGGGTACGCGGGTGGCCGCCTCGGGGGGTGACTGGCGGCTGCGGCCGCTTCCCGGGTCTCCTCAGGGGCGTGTGCCGGCGGGGCGGGAGTAGCTGTGGGGGCTCCAGCATGGCGGAGGGCTGCTCTCTCTCTCTTTTTTTTTTTTTTTTTGCAAAACCTGGGATCCCGGTGCTCGTTTGAAAAACACGAGTTTGCTTTTCTTGCTTACCTTGTGTCTGCTCCGTATTTATGTCTTATTTTCAATCTAGCGCTCTGTTCATGTTTTAAAACATAAGCCTCTTAAAAAACCTAAATACCCTCTGGATGATGTGTTTTTTTCTTATGAAAGGGTTTTTAAACTTTTAAAAGTCTTTGTTCAAAATCTGAAACAGAGCTGGTGCTAGAGGTGAGAATAACTTTTTTAACTCAGAGTGACAATGCTTATTAATACGTATTTTATGATCCCATGCAGGTGCTTAGAAAAAACCTTCAAAGGGGGATGGCGCTTTCAGCAGGGTCCTTTTTGGTTTATGAAGCTCACAAACTGATTTCTGGCTTTGCTGAGGTTCATGCAAGCTTCAAAGGTAATATTTTAAGTTTTTTAAGTATGTAGGTTATTCTGTCGTGAAACTTAAAAGTTTTTTGTGCCAGAGTTATGTAGGAAAAAGGTGTAATGCTTTTTTATTTTCTTCATTAAGACTATATACAGTGTGTTTCCATGACAGGATACTTTTGAACTGGTTCAGGGTAGTCTTGGAGCAATTCAGCAGGTGATTATTTCAAGTGTTACTGAAAGCAGATCTAGTAGCTCATCCCGTCTAGGATATAACACATGCACAAGGTATGTGATGCCTAACTTGTTGCCCAAGCTTTAAATAACTGTTACTGAGAAAGATATGGTTCAGTTAGGAATGCAGACCAAACGTTAATCAATTTCTAGAAGTCTTAGTTCAGATTTTCAATATGAACACGGTGCAATTTCTGTTTAATCTAATTGAGCAACACTGAGATTGCATTTCAAACACAATTGAGAAATGCCTTGTATTTTTCTTTCCCTTTTTCAGTGTGACAAAAGCCTTGCTTTTACCTACCAGAAAAGAATAGAACAAATGATAAAACGTCCTTTTCAAGATCCGAATAAAGATAGTCTAACTACTGGAAGAAAAATAACATCATCTTAAAAGGGGATATTGTTACAGACTTAGAATTTATCTGTCCCATGGTAAATTTAACGGTTTTTGGGAGTAAGCCTAACTGAAGTGCATTGCTTACTGTGTAGATTAGATAGTAGTGAGTTCAGATAACTTGTTTCTCTGTGTCTCAGAGAAGAACATCTTAGATGTTTATGCTTATAGAAATAAAAATTCAGACAATAGACTTTTGAACAGATAAGGAACTGTTTCATTTGATGTAATAGAAGGAGCTTCAGTGAATAGATTTAAGATAGCTACTTAGTACACAAATAAGAAAATTTCCCATGAGGAACATAAGTAACACTGTTTAGTTGCCTCTGCTCCTTTTTTAGTGCTCTCACTTGAATCTGGCCAAGAAAAGCAACATTAGTGGGATTTCTGTGCAAGACAAGTAGTAGTAATGGTGAAAATAAGAGTACAAACGAAATACCTGAAAATGCTCTTAAAGAAATAAAAGTCTAATAATTTACGTAAAACATCTGGTGGGAAATTTGTTCTGAAGTTTGAGTTCTGAGTATTTAGTCATTAGATATGTTAGTAGTGTTCAGGGAGTCTCAATAAGCAAACATAACAGTTCACTGCAGATAATACTGAAGATGTACCAGGAAGTTCATATTGGACACTAAAATCCAAAGTCCACGTAGACAGTTATCTTATCTTTGAAATGGCTGACAGAAGGCATTTAGAGATGGCAGGGTTAAAAATTATCCAGAATGCTTTCCCGATCTTCAGTAGTTTATGATCTTTCTAAACTGAACAGGAGGCTCTTGTGTTTAGCAGCCTTCATTGTTTTTTTCTTCTATAAGTAAAACTGTCCTGCTGTGAAACATGACTACCATATTCACTAGATAACTTGAAAGAAGAAAGCTCATAAACACAATTCATTTTTATGGACGGGAGGGTAGAGCTTATGTTTTGACTTAGAAGTTTGATCGTGGGCCCAGGAGTAATACTGACGAGACAATAAGTTCCAAAAGAATTTAGATTAAGCTTTTGACTTAAAAAGTTATTTTTTCATATCTTAATATGGGCAGAAGAGTAAACTCAGAGTTTGTTCTTCCCCTGTACAGTTATATACTTCAATAGAATTATCTGCCTGCTTTCCTCTGGGTATTTTTCTTCCTAATTCCATCTGTTCTCATGCTAGAGTCCTATATTGTGTGCTGTTTATTTCTGTTTCTACAATGCTGTTTTACGTACTATATACATATTTATTTAGATATTATTATTATATTCAGCCATTTGTGGAAATTGTACTCCCCCATCTCTGTTGTTTGTTAAAGTATTTTCTAGAAAAATAATTGAATTATCATAAGAGCAATGGGTGCTTAGTTCATAAATTGATACTCTAGAAAGCCAATTCTGATTTTCAAAATTATTTTTGCTTTTAGTATCTTAAACATATAGAGGTTTCAGTAGATTAACTGTATTTTTTGGAGTCACGTTTGTGAAAATCTTAAGGACTTCAGTCAGAAAACCTTTGAGCAATGTTTCATTTTGGCTTGTTGGGTAAGGTAAAGGGGCCCACTCAATCTGCAGTCATATTCTCGCAGAACTATGTAACCCTACTGAGAATTTGGAATATTTTTTTTTCCATTTTTATTATTAGATTTAAATTCTGTACGACTACTAATGAAGGGGTTTTGTTACTTTCAGATCTCTACTGCACTTGCCCTCCTGGTTGTATTTTTCATACCTTTTTTTTCCCCTGTCATTTTCACAAAGAAAACAAAATGCTTCTGGTAGTCTGCATTGAGAAAGACACTTTTGAATGTTAATTCCATTAAGCATCGACGGTCTGTTGCTGAAAGCTGTTTCGTAGTTTCATGAGAGGCATGTACTCAGCACTGTTTGTCTTCCCAGTTGTTCATTGTAAATGTAACTTACTCAATCCTGCTGTGCACATAAGTTGTTTGGAATGATGTCCTCAAAAGGAACTATGTTTGTTCTTTGTTTTTCAGCTAGGTTGTCTTGCTCTAAAATGTTTTGGTTATGCTCTAATGTCCTAATTACATGTAATTTGTTCTTCTGTTTCCACAATTTTAATTCCCTCTTAAGTGGAAGAAGTTATAGAGCAAGCAGACTACCTGTATGGGAGTGGAGAAACTGAAAAGCTGTATCGGTTGCTGGTTCAACATAAAAATAGGTACTTGACTGCATTGAGACATTATTGCAACTTCTGTTCTGTGCTCTATTGTTTTTCAACTAAAGTTCTCATTATGGTATGCTGGAGGAACTAGCTTTCACCCTTATGTATGTAGGTAAGAAAGACTCTTGATCTTTTTCCTCCTAAGGGAAGAATGAATGAAGACAGGACTGGTAGCTGTAGAAGGTGATGGTTAACACTCAGGTTTTTCAGTCCTGCAAGGAACAGTTTTTTGCTTGTTTGTTTTGTTACTCTAATAATCCTTTAAAATATAATGCAAAAACTCATAATGAGTCTACAAGTTACTAAATGATTGAAGTACCTAGAACTAAGGTACTGAAAATTTTTGAGTCACTGTTTCATTTCTTTCTCACTGCTGACCAGCTCTTCCTTCTGTTTTCATTTGTCTCACGTTAGGATTTGAGTCTGAACAAAAAAAGCTTCTTACTCGTATAGTTATGTCTTAACTGCACAAAGCATTTTATTGATAAGCGAACTGAGACAAGCTGTTTAAGGAAAAAGCAGAAAATGCATTGCAAACTGAAGAACCCATTCCTTTGGAGGAGGCAAGGCATCTCACTCCTAGAACACTTCTGGAGGAAATGAACTGTTCAGTAGCTTTCAGGGTTTTTTTGCTTTGGTTTGGTTTTTATTTGCTTGTGCTTTTTTTGTTGTTGTTGGTTGGTTGGTTTTTATTTGCTTGTGCCTTTTTTTGTTGTTGTTGGTTGGTTGGTTTTTATTTGCTTGGTTAGTTGGTTGGTTTGGGGTTTTTTTTGTTTTGTTTTGTTTTTCCTCCTTGCAAGAGGCACAAGTATAAAGCCTGGGAAGTTAAATGAAGGACATAGCCCATAAGGGACAACATGTCATAAGCAAGGTGTAACCTTGCTACTAGGTGTACAACAATACTGTTTTTCTCTGTGAGGAGTAATGATTCCAGTAGCAGTACTTAATATTTTTGTGACTTGCCTGAAAAATGACTCTGCTAATTCAGTGTTACTGTGTTAATTAGAGCAGGCGCTGTGAGCAGTGACTCAGTTTTATTCCCGATAAGAACACTGGCTTTTATTGATATTCTGAGTTTAGCAATAACTTACGTACACTTTTTAATATTTTTGGTTTCTGGTAGTTTTGACTTCAGTATTCCTGGGGGGGGCGGTGTGCAGGGCAGGAGGGGGAGTTTTATAGCTGGAACCTCTGAAAGACATTGTAAACTTCAATTTAATACTAAAATCTCTATTAAAATTACTTTAAAAAGTAAGCC